CATCATAAGGATAGCTGGGTTAGGATCAGAGGAAGGAGTGAAAATTGCTCGAAGACACATCAATAATTTAACATACGTAGGTGATACCGTATTACTGGAGGAAGGAAGCGATGAAATGAAACAATTCCTGATGAATGTGAAAGAAAAAAGGTCAAAAAGCAGAGCTGCAGCTGAATAATAGGAAAACAAAAATCATGACTATACAAAAATTACACAACTTTAATATCAGCAATGAAGAAACTGAACTTTAATGTTTACACTAAAGAACTTTTGCATAGCTTGATTCAGTGATTAATTCATATGGAGACTGCTGTCAAGAAATTTGAAAAAAGACTGAGACTTGGAGGGGTAGCAGTGAAGGACCTAGAACAGATGATCAAGTGTAAGGACATTTCACTGTACACCAAGGCCAAGATTTTCCACACTATTGTATTACCAATAACTATGAATGGGTGTAAAATCTGGACAGGGAAGGAAACTGATATATTTGAGACATGGTGCTGGAGGAGAGAAAGCTGAACAAGTGGATCCTAGGTCAAATCACACCCAAACTTCCTTTGGAAGCAAAAATTATGAAATTAAGACTCTTGCACTTTGGGCACACCATGAGAAGGCAAGACTCACTGGAGAAGATGATCATGCTAGGGAAAGATGGAGGGCAGAAGAAGAAAAGAAAGACCAGGTATGAGCTGGATCCATAAAGGAAGCCACAACCGTGAGTTTGCATGTGCTGGGCAGGTCTGTTAAGGCAAGGTATTTCGGAAGGCATTCGTTCATAGGGTTGTCATGAGACTATTACTTGATGGCGTGTAACAGCAGAGAAGGCCCATGATAAGATAATAGAATAATAGAACAGTAGAATTGGAAGGGGCCTATAAGGTCTTTTTATTTATTTATTAGATTTATATCCCACTTTTATCTTAAAAAGAACTCAAAGCAGCTTATATCATTCTTCCAGTCTGATCTCCACAACAACATCCTGTGAGGTAGGTTGGGCTGAGAGTGTGACTGGCCCAAAATGATCCAGTTGGCTGTGTGGCTGAGTGGGGACTAGAACCCAGATTGCCTGAGTCCCAGTCCCATGCTCTTAACCACTATACCACTCATTGAGTCCAGCCCCATGCTCAGTAAAGTACTACAAGTATAAATGAATGCATAATTATTTGCCTCGGGACTGACTCCCCTCAGCTGTTTATAATTGTTTAATTGCCTTAACAAGCTGCTTTTGTCCATGGAATGATGCCCGGACATACTTCTTTTCCTTCACTAAGGCTATGTAGTTCTGTCTCCAGGCAACATTATCAGTTCCGTACCAACTGGCTTACTGAAGTTTATCTGTCTTGAAACAGAACCCTTGTGGGCTGCAAGGTCTGTAGTACACAGCATATGGCACTTTGCAATACAGCTCCTTTTGTTTCCAAGGCATTGTAGTTCCAGTATCTATAACTAATGGAATTGCTTCTGTGTGAGTCCATGTTAATGAATACTGTGCAGTATATCCTGTTTTAAAATGCCAATCTGAGACACATGTCTGTCTTTTTCTATACCACTCACCTGCCAAACCAATGCACCTCTTTCTTCTGGTTGTTGTTCCTTTTTTAACAGAGACTGGACATCCTTATGGCTAAGCAGTCTTCAGATAAAGTCAGTCTAAACAATTATTTGTATTGCCCTCAACCCTTTTAAAGGTTTTTCAACCAAGAACGCCTCTTCCCACCCATCTTATTTTACTTTGCATAATGAACTTCAACATCTCTATTTTTCATGTCTTGTTAAATGACCAAAATATTTTAATTTTCCATATTTTATACATTTTCTAATTTCTTGATCTTCATACATTCTCTTTATACTTTTTGCACTTTTTGTAATACTCTCTCTGTTCATGAAATGCATAATACCTTACCATAAATCCACATTTTAATTTTTCCTATCTTTATGAAACATCCTACTTATTTATTTATAGGCTGCCTTTTGCCCTGCAAGGAATCTGGGGCAGCTTACCTAATTCACCTTCTCCCAATTTTGTCTTTACCACAACACTGTAAGGTCTGTTCGGCTGAGATCCAGTGTCTGACCCAAAGTCACTCAGTGAGCTTCATGGCCAACTGGGACTAGAACTCAGAGTCCAAGTCCAGCAATTTATTGATTTAAAACATGTCTATGCTGTCTTTATCGAAGTGGATCTCAAGACAGCTTACAGCCAGAGTGTAACAGCACATTTTAGGTTTAAAGTTCACATTTTGTGCCATACAATGGAATGGAAAGTACATACCACCAGTATATATCAACAGAACTGAAAATCCATACAGTGCACTTTCTCAGGGTGAATGTTAATTTTTTTCTGTTACATATTACATTTTCAGCTTAAAAAAGCTTCCCTGAGCCACCTCTATTCTAAGTCTTCTTGCATTATTATGATCCCATTGCTTGCTCAACCAAATTTCAAGCTATGTATATTTATAAACATGCTGAACATATTTATTTTGAATGCTCAACTATTTCTTAGGCAACTTACTGTTTACTAATTATCACACACATTTTTAGCATTCATTTTTAAACCATGTTCATTAACTTTATCAAGTTATCTTTGAAACCATAAAAAATGGGGTATGTTTACAAGATGGGCCATTTCTGGAAATCTCCCTAACATACTTACGGAAATGCGTGTGTACCTGAGCAGATTGTTAATTCTGCAATTATTCTGAGGGCAGTACTACCCCATTCTCTTTCAGTGGTTTTACAGATGAACACTGGACAACTTTGCTGGGTACCTCCCACAAACATTCCAAACTTCATTGCTTTCAAAACTGGAATGTGGCAAGGAAAAGAGAATGATTTAACTTTGTCTGATTTGGCACACCAAAGTAGCCTCACAAACATCACAACACTTGTGCATAGCTGCATGGCTATGCAGCTGCTTTTTTTGTTAAAATTAAAAGAATTCTCCACAGTTATTTGGGCATTTAAAAGTATTCCTCTCCAACAAAATTAATAGATAAACCATTCAGCTGGTCACCGAGGTCAGCAAAATGTAGGATACAACTTCCCTTCCTCTAGTTATGGCCCATAGAATGAGGCCCCTCTACTCACACCCCAAGGTGAAATTGTGAAGATGGGAAAGAAAAGTCAACAAACTGATTCTGCAGGTGGAAGCTACTCCCAATACTTGTCATATACTAGAGCTACAGCCCTTGGCAGGAATGGTATAGAAGGGGATGCTGAAGGCTAACCCTGAAGTGTGCAGGCCAGCAACCCATCTGAATGGTCTCCTCATTTGATTTAAGATTGTCTGTTTAAAGTGCTGCCCCTGTTCAGTAGTTCCTTGGTGGATGATGGATATTCCAACATAATCATGGAAAAGAGGATGCCAGTGGTCATGCTAGCTGGCAGTGATAAGAACTGTATCAGAACACATCTGAAGAACACAAAGTTGGGGAAGGCCGCTTTAAAATAAAGAAAGGAGGAGGTCGTTCCTAGTTGTTTGTTTTCAGTTTTCCACAGCGCTACATATCTTATTGTCCTTCCTCTGCACACATCTGGCTTTTGGTTGCTTGGTTGAAAGCATCTGCACACATACAGAGCGTGAGAGAACTGCACGATTTTTGTTCACTGAATTTATTTACTCTATAACTGAAGGAGCATGCTGCTATGGCTGTTGGGCGTTTCTTCTTTAGGTCAATTACTGGTGAATAGTCCAGGATAGCTGGAGGATTGTGGAGCCAAACCTTAGGCCTGGTCTCCTAATATTTGAGAATCTCTTAAATGAAATACCCTTCAGAACATGGAGAAGGTGACACACTTCCAGTTGTGTGTGTGTGTGAATGCTTGCATGTAAAATACCAATAGGCAGTGTCAAGAGTGAAAAAACCACCCTTTGAGTTTCCATTGGGAATGTACAGTCAAAAGAACATTTACAGTTTATTCAGACCTACAGGAAATACATACAGCATGTAGGCAGTCCCTGAAGAGGCTGCAGTGATGGAGTCTGTGAAAGGAACTTTTATAGCCTATCAGTTACATACGGTTTGGAGAATGGGTAGGGGGTCAGGTGGAGAATCATGTGCACAGTATGCTAGAGGCATATTAGAATTTTTTAAAAAGTGATTGAATGGAGTTAAGACAACACAATATAGAAAGCATCTTCAGGACAGGTAAACAGTTAACATATCTAAGAGTGTACCTCCAAAGGACTCTCTATGGTGCACATGGGAAGCAAGAAAGATCAGGAATCCCATCTTAGTCGAAAGCTGTTCTTACAGTGTCAGGCTTTTAAGCAGCCCTATTCCTGCAAAGTGTTTGCTCATTTTGTCCTGACAGCGGTTTGGAGAGAGGCAGGTCATGCTCAATTGACTGGTGGTGAAACACTTCGGAATGCAGGATTTGTTTCTGAAGACTCGATGTGGTCTAGTGGATCTGCTCCTGTGAGGAAGCACCTCTTGGCATCCTTGCAAGTTTATAGGCAAAAGAAGTATTACAGATAATATAAGTTTCCTCTTTAACCAAAGGAGTTGAAACCGGTAGGGTAGACCCTGAATTAATCAGGGAAGTGAGGCATATTCGGTAACAGGAGTTGTGCCTTTGCACCTATGGTGAGTTTTAATTTCCAAAGTTAACCATGAACTCAAAGCTCAACGATCTGCAGAAACACTTTTTCTTGTCCCCGCCCCTGTGTAAATTGTATTGTGTTTATATATACCCTCTTTCCACTTTGAATCACTGCCCCTGTGTAAATTGTATTGTGTTTATATATACCCTCTTTCCACTTTGAATCACTTCCCCTCTTCTCCTCCCTTACTCCAGTTTCACGCAAAAAACTCTTGGCAGTAGCTGGGAAATGCTGGGAATTTAAAATCCATTACGACCTGGGATGTGGCGGCAGCAGGCTGTGGGGGAAGAGGGGCGAGGCCTGGCAAGGAAAAGGAGTCAGTTCCTCTGCCGCAGATGAGCACATTGGGAGGCAGATGGGAAGTACGCCCCACCCTCGCGCCCGCAGCCAACCCTGGCCGCAAAAGTTGGGAGAGCCAGAACTCTCCCCCAGGAAGACAGCGCACGGCAGCTTGAGGCATAAAAAGCTGGGCTCCCCTTGCACAGGCGCTAGCCTCTCACAGCGCTTTCAGCATCAGAGCTCTCCCGGCTTTTGCAAGCCAGTGCTCACCAATGGGAATGGTGCTCCTGCAGATACTCCTCTTATCCCAGGCTCTCGGCCGCTGGGTCTACGGTGCAGGTAAGTGCAGAGGCGTTGCGCTCCAAGGGTGCTTCCAGACCGAGCGTGAAACCGTTCCAAACCCTGTTTCTTTCCTTAACGAGGTTTTTTTTGGTAAGAAAAAGGCTGGAAGGCACAGCCAGAAAGACATCTTCATCAGCTGATCGCCTATCAAATTCTGGGAATGAGACGCGGTGATTGCACAGTGAGCACTGTGTTTGGAAGCACCCTCTGGTGCAGCTGGCTTAAAATACCTGCTAACGAGGTCCGGCAAGGTAAGGGTGGGCATGCCGAGTTGCTAGGAGTAGCAGGTATGCTTGGTCTGTATGACTACCTCTTCTTCCATCTCAACCGGTCTGATCTTTAAAAATATCTGCAAACACCCTTCCATGTGTACTTCTTCAGAGATCCTCTACAAGGACAGGCGCTCAGTTTATGGCATGTGCTCCCTTGAAGTAATTTGCCTGGTGTCAACAATGTTATCATTTAGGTGCCAGGCAAACTTGTCCTTATTTATTAGGCATTTGAATAGATTTTACTGACTTACCTGAGCAAGCTTTATGTGGCAATCCTAAACATGATTGCTAGGGAGTAAACCCCACTGAACACAATGGGATTTACTTCTGAGTAAATGTGCATACAACTAGGCTTCTAATCTCATTTTTTCAAGCCTTGTGAAAAAATGTATATATGCTGTATATCACCCCTAAACTCTGAGATGACAGAATGGTATAAAGAAGTTTTAAATAAATAGAGCAAGGGTGTTATGTAATTAAAAAAAAAAATCAGGATAGTGGAAATTTGGAAAGCCTAGTGATGATTTCTAAGTGAGGCTTAAATGAAAACAGCTTCATGTCTTGCAAAACTACCATCCAACACACAGAGCTGCAAATGGGAACCACAAATCAAATTCTGTCTCATGTTTTTATATTCTGTTATGGAACAGCTCCTCTTGCTCCACCAAGGCAAACTTGCCCAATCCGTGCTTTTTTTAAAAAACAGACTCTCCAGAGTTGTTACACAGTGAAATTAGAAATAGGTTCTGTGGAGGACTGGCTTTCTGAAATAAGTAAGAATCTCTTAAAATAAGACACATGTACAAGAAGTTTCAGTGAATCCCAAGGAAAAATCCACTCACTGATCTTCCCATGACTGCAGATGGGCCTTCTATGCTTCTACTCTTCCTTATTCCTTGCATACAAATACCGGGTGCTGACAGTCTCCATTTGGCTGAGTGCTACTCTCAATCTTGAATGCAGCTTTTACTTTATTAAGAACTTGAGTTAGCACTGTGACCTATAAGGCAGCTTCTCTACAATGCTGTGACAGGCTAGGCCAGGCCAGGCCAGGCATCTTTTCCTCTACTTCCTACAAGAACCTGCCTTTGAAGGATGGAAGGCAGATCAGGCAAAGAAGGAATGGTTAGAGAGTGGCCATGTTTATGCAGCAGTTTAAGTCAGTAACCCTGGCTTATGAAAAAATTATGAATGAACTGCGCACACTTTTCATTCCTTCACTTCTCTCTTCATGTGAACAAGTAAACAGGTTAGGAAAGGGAGAGCTTCATGGTAAAGCTGAACTTTGGATGATTTATTATGCTTAACTAAGGATTTCTAAGCCGACTTCTAACAAGGCTGGCTGACAATCTTGGCTTGAATGCAATAAACATAATGCTAGGTTTTGGCATAATAAAAAGCTCGCTTTCCTGCTTTGTTTACCCACAAAGTTGTAATGATAGAGTATATAGATTTGTGTGTCTCCCTCTGTATAAAGCAGTTGGTAACCTGAAGAGTTGTTCTATAGTCTTGTAGTCCAAAGATGTGTAAGCTGTCATACAAGAGGTTTGGAGATTCTCATAAGAATAAAGTTATATATTAGGCAATTCCTTATCCCATGAGTCAGTTTCTGGACTCAAATGTTATGCTGAGCCAGAAGCGGAGAATGAGGAGTGCATTGGATTAACTGGTAGCAGGTCCTTTGCCAAATGCATTTGTGGAAAGATCTGTCATCACAAAAACCTGATGAAGAACACCATTGATGGTGGGGATTTGTATAAGTCTCCATGAACTTACAGGAGCATTCCACTGGAGAGGGTTAGCATCCTGCTCAACTATTACTAGGAAGATCCATCAGAGCTAATGTACCTGTATTTGAGGACTTGCTGCAGTGTAGCACCAGCCATTCAGAAGCCAAGATGAAAATACTGTTTAGACAAGATAGCAGATCCCCACTCGTGCTGGGTTCAGATGTCACAACCAACTGTGCCTGGCATAGGTAATTAAGGGAAATCAGCTGGCATCCACATGGGTGGTTAACAACTCGCCATGGATAATGAACCATGCTTGTATTGTGTGAGATGGTACCTCTGTTGCTCTTGTCTTGCCTAGTCTCTGGCCACCATTGTCATGCAGACCCTGACAATAGGGATGAAAGGGCTATTGTCTTTCTTTACCTTTCTTTTAGCCCATATGTACAAGATGCTCCATAATGTATGGCAGGGATGGGTGGCTCTACACAGCCCTCAAAGGCTTTAATCTCACCCCTGCACTAGCAATCCTGCTTGGGCTTATTGGGAGAAGGGCAAGGATAAGGCATCTTTTCCCGTGTTCCAGATTGAGAGTATATTTGAGTGCACAAAGTCACAGTCCAAGCAACACTGCATGTAGCCCCTGGGGTCAAAAAACTGCTCACTACTTGTAGAGCCACAGGGCATGGCTCTTGCAGTGTAGAGACAGGTGCTCCTGCAAGCAGCAGAGCTGAATCTCTTTCTACCATGGAACATCATCGTGAGCATATAAAAACCTGGCATATTGGAGAGAATGTTTAAGATTCCATTCTGGCCCCTCAGGTCTCTACCATGATGGCTTCCATTACGATCCCTGTGCTTACCTGGCTAGCTATTAAGGCCATGCTCTAGTGGAAGGGTGGGCAAGTTGGAGGCCCAAACATCTGGAGGTCCACAACTCCTATCATCCCTCATCATTGGCTTCATTAGCTGGGACAGGTGGGAAATGTAGGCCAAAGCATTTGGAGGGACATAAGTTGCCCAACCTTAGTCTAGTGACCATGGTATAATGGTAAACTTTGCATTACAGGAGCTTACCATCGGAGAGTTCCAAAATACAGGCAGATGTGTTGATCTTTATCAATAAACTAGTTCTAGCAGTTTGTATCTCCATCAGGAAAGCCGTTCTGTAATGTCAACAGGTCTAAATTGCCCATTCAAGCTCAAGTCGCCCCTGAAATAATTTTACATTGCAGAGAACAATATACTGTTGCAGGAAAAATCTGTTTCCACCTTGGTAATTTGGGGATTTAAGCTAAGCTCAGAGGGAACAAGGGGTCTGAGTAGGGCAGCAGATGACATCAGCATCCCTGCCAATAATTTGTTTATAAGATTTATATCCCACCTTTTTCTTGGAAAGAACTCAAACAGGCTTACATCATTCTCCTCCTGCTCTCAATCCCCACAACAACAACCCTGTCAGGTAGGCTGGGCTGAGAGTCTGTGACTGGCTCAAAGTCACCCAGTTGGCTCCATGGCTGAGTGGGGACGAGAACCCAGATTGCCTGAGTCCCAGTCCGGCAACCTTAACCACTACACCATCCCTGCAAACCTGGCTCTGTTATACCACTGCTAGTGACTCTATTTTGGGAAGACTATTTACCTCTTTCTCAAAGGCAAACAATGGCCTGTGATTTAGCAAGACACTGATTTCAGACTAACCCGAAGTATCTCAGCATAGCTCTTACTGGTTTGATCATACAGCTTATCTTAGAAATGAGAAGTCAAAAGGATGTCTCACTACTTTTACTGTTTTTAATGTACATGGTGGGAAATTGGGGCAGCGAACACCCTTGCAATCTGCCTTCTAAAGCAACCACCTCATCATGCTTCACAGTAAGACCAGCCCTATGATAATATGAGGCTGGTATTTAACAAAGGCTGACAGGTCAGCGTGTGACTGTCTGTAAGTGGCTTCTTATTTCTTCTGAGGTGGATAAGTTAGCAATTTTTTTCTCCTATTAGTTGCCCTTTTTTCCTTTTGCATTGGAGCAAAAGGAGTTACGAGGTGTCAAAGGGGCCTCGGGAAAGGGTGGTCCCTGCCTGTGTGGAATACAATGGGAGGGCAGCCAGCCAAGCAGTGCCACAATCAATGCTGCAGACAGGAAAACATCTCTTGGGAGGAAAACCCAGCAGGGAACTTCTTCCTGAGTATGCCATGCTTCCTCTGGTAACAGCCTACTTGTTTGTGGGTGCTCCTGTGAACAAAGGAGAGGGAGGCCTGGATAATGCAAAAATACCTTGCTGCCATTCCCCTTTCAGCCCTATTTAAAGGTATGGGATGGCAAGAGTTTGGGGAGGGCACCATCAGTCATTCGGGGTAGCCACAGAGTGCATCTCTTTTAAACATGTGGTTTCTGCTTCATTTTCTTCCTCCTTGTTCTGCTTTTTCTCACAGAATTTCATGACTTCACCATGGTACAGCTTGCCTACTTTCCAGAAAGAATGTCAGCTGACATTTTTGGGAATGCCACTCTGGATGGGACACTCACCCACAGCCTGAAGTACCACAATGGCCAATTCAATGTGAGTCAGCTGTTTCCACTGGAGTCCTCGGACCTCTGGGAGCAGAGGAAGGAAAGCTTGCTTGAATACCTAAATATCTTCAAGGATTTGGTCTCCATCATTGCTCGTGAAAGGAAAATACTATGTGAGTAAAAGGCAGGGAGCCGGATGGTAATAGCTAAAGTTGTCATAGAAACTGGCTTACTGCTTAGGAAGATGTACTGCTATACACTAGTGTCTGGAAAATAGTGTGGCCGACTAAGGCTCAGGGATTTGCAAGAGGGGGGAAAACTATGATGCCTTTTAACCAATGGTCAGATTTAGCAACCTGTACCTGTGTAGATAGGGACTGCAGGTGGCGCAGTGGTTTAAACCGCTGTGCTGCTGGGCTGGTTGATCGAAAGGTTGCCGGGTCGAATCTGCACAACGGGGTGAGTTCCTGTTGCTCAGTCCCAACTCCTGCCAACCTTGCAGTTCGAAAGCATGCAAATGCAAGTAGGTAAAAAGGTACCACCTCGGTGGGAAGGTAACAGCGTTCTGTGCACCTTGGTGTTTAGTCATGCCGGCCACATGGCCACGGAGACTGTCTGTGGACAAATGCTGGCTCCCTCGGCTAGGAAATGGAGATGAGCACCACCCCCTAGAGTCAGGCATGACGACTTGATGTCAAGGGGAAACCTTTACCTTTACCTTTACCCTTACCCATGTAGATATTGATGGATTGCAACTCCTTCATACCTCACCTTTGGCCATGCTGGCAAAGGATGATGGGAAATATGGTCCAACATGATCTTGAAGGTTGCAAATTGCCCACTGCATGCCCTATAGAATTACAACCAGGGCAGTAATTGCACTGAGTTTAGAAGAACATGGTACTAGTTCCATGTCTACCAGGTGCTGAGAACTGAGTGCTGTCTCATGACTACCAGTAGCAGCATTGTAGTTTTGTTACAGGGCTTTTTGCTTATTCACGGGCATAGGAGCTGTGCAGACAGACCAAGGGCACAGCTTCTTCCCATGGTCTCCTTTTCGCACCAATACCACCAAATACGAATTGGCTCCATGATCAACACTTACGCATATGATAGGAACAGAGTTGAGTTACTGGGGCTAGTCTCTAGCATGAAGTTAGGTTATTAATTCTTATAATAAAACATAGTATCCCTATTTTAAGAGGTACTGGCCTTCCCAGCTCTGTTAGCTCAGATCCTCTAACCGGAGACTGGAGGAATGGAACCTGAGAAGTTGCTTAGGGAAAAAGGATGCCCTGCCCCCTGGACAATAAGTCCATTGTCTTGATAGCTGTAATGAAAATAAAACCAGCTAGCGTATATTTGTGCATTTGTGTTGTATCCCTAGGTGTACACTATGAACCATTAAAACACTTCATTTTGCTTCATCTATAGTGAAGCAATCGATCACCATCCCTACAAGAGTGGGTTGTTTAATGGGTAAAGAGGGGAGACTGGATTGCCTACAGCAGGACCTCTGTGGAGCTGGCCATGCTGATAGAAACATGAAATTCTGTGCTCCTCTCGGCATAAAGAAAAAGGATTTTTGCCACCGCTGAAAGAAGCAGCCGTTTCTCCCAGCACGGTCTGTGTCTCTGGTTTTGCTTAATGTCTGTGCAGGGTGCCACACAGAGCTACTCAGCCGCTGCATGCAATCCAAATGTTATCTCAGTGTATCTCACCTTGGAAATAACAAGAAGATTCCTTCAGAGAGTAGAGCTTGAGGGCCATGCTCACTCCAGGGGGAGCAACCTGTATCTTTACATGCCAGATTGGTGAGTCTAGTGGGTTGGTTAGGTATATGCTGATCTTAGGCAATTCCTGCTTCACTTGTCAAATAAGGCCACTTCTCCTTACAGATGAATTCAGGGTTAACAAGAGATTACTTGCTAAAGAAATCAAGATATTGCACAGCGCAAGGGTACAGTGCAAGGCTTACTTAGTGGTAAAGCTGGGATGGTATTGCACAAATGCATAGTTTTAGTCGAGCAGACCCAATTCTTGAATACCATAAAAGGCAGATCAGATTTCAGACTGTGAACAAACACTGAAAACCAAGTCTCTGTAGCTGTCTGTAGGCATTTATCTAAATAGACATAGTATATAGATGGAATGGGGATATTCACACATGCCCTCTCCCCAACAGTCCCCCCAGTGCAGGTGGACTCTTTTTAAAAGTTTCAATTATTCAGAGCAGAGGTTTGAAAAGAGTTTTTGAGCACATTTACTCTGAGAGACCTGCAGCCTCCAGCTCAGGGTTAGGGCAGTGGTAGGGTCTACTGGAGGGGAAGCAATGCTTTCTGTTGGACAGCACCGCTCTGCCTTCATTTCTTTTTCAGGTGTAGGGGTTTTTTAAGGGGTACATCTAAAAATATTCAGTGGGAATTCAGTAAGATTGCTAGCTAAAAGCTTATCATATTGTAGAGAGACACTTTTGAGAGTGTCAGCAGTTCTTAATATGGGAATGGGAAAAATGCTATTTTTTTGAGATGATGAAACAGGGACAGCTTGACATCTTACATCATACATGTGTGAGAGATACAGGGGACATCTTTCTAATACATCCTCATTGGTTGCAGACCCCCTACATGTGCATTGTAATACTGGTTGCCAGCTCTTTGCGAATGGCAGTAACAGCTTCTATGAGGTTTTGCTCAATGGGATGGAGTTCCTGAGATTCCATGCAAGCAACCACACCTGGGTTCCTTTGGAAAACTCCGCCAGGGCCAGATATACATGTAACAAGCTGAATGAATTTCCCCAGAGCACCGTCAGCCTTCAGCTCTTCCTGCAAGAAACATGCATCAACTTAATAAAAACTCACATTGAAATGAAAGAAGCCTCAACTGGTATGTGAAATCATGGTTATACAATATCTGAGAAGCAAACCTCCTTTGCCCTGGGCAATGAGTCCAAACAACCTTGATGTCAGTCAATGGAAAACCTTATCCAGATTCCCATAAGCAAGAATATTTATCATATGCAGTGCTCACACTTCAGAACCCATATTGGAAATGAGTGCAGAAATCTACCCCTTAAGCACCAAGTTCCATTGCTTTCATTGGTGGATGGGTGGGGAAAGCATCTAATCCTCATCACAGTAAAAACCCTCCCCCAATAGTTTCAGAAGGTGGTGGGGCACGTTACATAGACTTTCCAGTGGTCAGTCCTTCAGAATCCTCCATCTTTAATTCTAACAACAAATTTATGCCAGTATGTGCACTGTTCACTTTGGCATCCAATCTTTCTTGGCATAGAGAATAACATGGCTGCACACCAGTCAACAGAAATTTACTTTTAGCATTCTCTGCCTTGCAAGACAAATATACGATCCCCTGCTGAGGGATTGGTTGAAATGGTCTCACTGGAAACACAAAGCCACTTCAGTCATATAGTGTTCCCTGTGAACAAATCATCAGACACAAATCCCTTTTTCCAAGCAAGCCTAAATTTGCAGCACTTTTGCTAGAGATATGGCACTAGTCCAGCCTCAGAGATCTAAAAGATCTCAATCCTGCATTCACCCACTGAAGATATAGAAAGGTTCTCAAATCAACTCTTTTTGCCTTGCAGGGAAACAGAAAGGACGCGTTCATGCTCCGCTGGTGCTAGGAATCAGCATTGGTGCCCTTGCTCTAATAGGCCTAGCTGTTTGCATCTTCTTATGCACTGGTGGGAAGAGATAGCAATACATATCATCACATTATGTGGACCAGGTGGTGAGTCAAACCGAAATGAAGAAAATGATGCAGACCCTTTCATCTGTGACTGACTTCTTGGAGAAGAAAAGCATCCGTATGAACTTGTATGCCTTATCTCATAGCTAACTATGAGCACCAGTAAGGCCACTAGGGTCTTTTTATTTTCCAACAGGACAAGTGACATCTCCGCTCAGCTGTTACTATAATACATAGTACTTGGAGGTGCTGTTGAAGACATCCCAGAAACTTCAGCCAAGACACAGCTGTGAGAATTCTGAGACCAGCTGTTATGACCATAGCACACTGTTCTTCTCTTGCCTGGACTGGCTTCCATTCATTTTTGGGCCCAATTCAAAGCACTGGTTTTGACTAATAATGCTTTACACTGTGTGGGATCTTGGTACCTGATGGACTGCCTCCTCCCACATGTACCAACCTGTGTTTTAAGGTAACCCATGGAAGCCCTTCTTTGTCCCCCTTATTCTGAGGCACAGAGGCTTTCCCTCTCCCCACTTAGGGATGGTCTCCCTGAAGAATCTCAACTGCTACCCACATTACCTTACTGCCTTTTCAGTGCCAGGCTAAGACTTTTCTGTTCTCTCAGGTACTTTAGCCTTTGTTTAAACTAAGGAGAGATGGGCAATATGTGGTCCTCCAGATGTCAGTGGACTGCAACTCCCATCAGCCCTAGATGGCACACCAATAGTGAGTCTATGAGAACTGCAGTCTTAACATATGGAGGACCAGACATGTTACACTCTGCATTGAAGATCTACTGCTTTCGTCTCTGGTGTGAGGCTTTCTCTCCTCTACTTCATGTTGTGTTTAGTTATTTTATCATGCTGTGCTAGTATATGTCCATCTGGCTTTATGGTGTGCTTTTAGATTTTATTTTGCAATCTTTCATTTTATTATATTGTTTTAAATTGTGCTGTACAACACCTAGAGAAATCTGTTTATGAGGTGTCTAACAAATATTTACATGCTTCACTCAATGGAAATCGGACAAACACCAAAGCATAGCATAAAAAGAATTAACATGCATGGACCTCTTCTACCTCTCGTCAGCCCACCACCCCACACTTTTCTGATGATGCTTCCCGAAAGTGAGAATTACAGCTACTATTTAGTTCATTTGAACAGCATGAAATGTACTGAGATGGGATTTATCCATGGTTATACAAATGGAATTTAATGCCACACAGTGTGGCATTACTGGGTCAGTCAAATTAACAAATATGCCTGTCAGCTGCTATTAAATAGGCTGCCCAAATGGAATTTCTGATCCTCTGAGACAGCTGAATAGAAGTTTTGTGGAGAAGGAAACAGTGAGGGGGGATCATTGCTTTGATGGTCCATTTGTGGACTTCCTGGAAGCATCTGGCTTACCACTGAAAAAACAGAATGATGGATTACATAAATTTAGTCCTACAGGGATGTTCTTATGACCCTGGATCTAGAGAGGGGCATTGCATTATTGATTCCTAGACTTTAGAAAAGGCATCACTAAGGTAATATCGTAGAGGATTTAGTGAGGCAGGTATTACCTAAAGTAACCTATTACACTTCAGCAGATCTTTGATGCCTCTTGTTACATCTCCAATACCCTATTCTCTTCCTTCTACCGCCATCTATAGCATTAAATGTACAATGACAAGTTTCAACAAAGACAAATCTAACATCTCAAAAATATCTTCCAATGGGACTTTAAGGGGATTCAGGAGAAACAAGGATGTCAGCTTTAAAGTAAATCAAGCCAAGATAGAACTAATCTTCTCATAGACGCTACTACTGTGCATCTCATTTAAGTGTATCTTTTCCAGAAATCAGGATCCAATTACCCTTTATAAACATCCTTGAGACTACAGTAGTATGTTTTGAAACAGTATTTGGAAATGTCATATACTTTATCCTTTCAAGAAGCTAACAACTGAACAACCACTTCAGTGGTTTCTTGCACATTATTCACTGATGCTCTGAAGAACTTTTGAAAATTCAGTTAAGTTTTTCTGTTAATACCCAAAATTACTTTCTGCAGAATAGGAGGCATGTTGCTTTCAGCTTTGAGGTGGCAGGGGTGCTTAAAAAGCAATCTTTGAAAGTCTTTTTTGCTGTTGGTGGAGGTCTGTTTCATTATACATCAAAGCTTCTAAAAACTTTTATTATTAAGGGGAGGAAGGAAACTGGCTTTCCGCATGTATCAAACACTGACTATTTTGATTAAAAACATTCTAACTTATAAACAGTTTGTGGGCATTTTTCCAACACTAGTCTGTCACTAGTTCACTAGCTCACTCTAGTGGCTTCTTTCATAACTTAGGGAAGTAACTTCATTGCCTGGTATTTCAGATAGCATTAGCAGCTACCAATACAGCATTTTCATCTTTAACACAGAAAAGAAGCAACATTTCACTCTGATCACTAACCAGTGGGAGAAGGGATCCAAAAAGAAAAACTCCAGCTAACTTTTCATTAAAGAAGATATAAGCACTATTGCAACACATATAAAACTCCTTGTAAAACATATTTTGCTGTGTACATTACCCAAGATACTGTTTGGGTAAGGAAAAATTGCATACCCTCCTAATCAGTGTACTTTGCATGACTGTATGGGAAATCAAGTCCTGAAAGCCTTGCTAAGGCATGGGACTTATGGGCCATGTGCGAGACTGTGTTGCATGTAAGTCAGTTTCTGCAAAAGTACAATACCATGCATTTGATAGAAAACATATGGGGAACCCCAAGGTTTCCTGGTATCTGTGTCTCCATTTTGCATTTTATGTAACATAATTGTTACATAGTAAATGAGTTGGTGCCAAGGTTCCTGGCTTAATCAGTTGCATAAAATGTAAAGACAGAATTATATTGAACCACAGGCTAGGGAAGAAGTCATATAGTTTGATTCAAAGAAATAGGGGAAAAGCAGCAGCTATTGCCTGAAAATAGAGTTAATGGTACATTTGTTTTAGCTACAATAATTGAATGGCCTAGCAGCAACAAGGTCCTTAACTTCACTTAGAATAATGGAGAAGTCTTTTCTACCCTCTGACCCAGGGAATGGGGGAAACAACTGAAACATTGAAGCTAATTGTTATGACTGCACAGGCATTGCTTGCTGGATTGTCTGTTTATGAAATCAGAGAAAACAAATTCATATACTTTCAGTACAGTCTCAAAAAATTCAAGGCTGTGTATTGATGCTAACCTTAGAGAGGCATAGTGAATTGTCAGTCTTTCATGAACACTGTCCCCTGTGCTCATGGAGAACTTAGAACCTCTCTGAGTAGAAAGCAAAGCCTAAAGTACAATTCCATGGTATCAACAGGAAGCATCTGGACAATTTGAGGCCAATGCAGGTAACTACTGAATTGTGCAGAGATGAGGTTCTTTCATGTTCCAAATCCATTAGAATAGGAGACAATGGGCTAGGTATTTTTGCAAGATAACAAAATCAGGTCATTGTGGATATGTTTTTAACCATAACTTTCCAGCTTTAGCCCAAGAATGCCCGAGACAGAGGACATACAAGGTACAACAGAGGGATAAAAATTCATTCAGAAGGGCAAGAAAAAGGTAACATCAAAATATATTTTAAAACCAGAATTTCAATGCAGTACTTTTGTTAAAACACCTCACATCTCTCAACTGTTGGAGACTGACTGCTCCAAGTACAGCACCAGTTGTGTCCTGAATTAGGAAGTATCTTTTGCCGTCTTCTGATCTGTCCCAGAATCACCTCGCTATTGGTAAAAACAGAGCTTTCAGTGGTCACGCCAGCATCCCTCAGCTTTGTTCTACAATGACCAGAAGAAGAGACTGCAGTTTACAGCACTGATTCATTCATTGTAACAAAGTCCATTTGCCTCTTGTCTCAATATCCCTGCAGTCCATTGTACACCTTCTGCACGGATGCCTGTTTCAACAATTTTTTGAGTCCTGCAAAAGAATGTAAAAAAATCACCATACAAAGTAAAAAATGTTCCCAATATGTCAAAGGAAAAAATCAACCACATTCAAGCTGTTTTGATTCTTTGCCAGCACATTTCCATTCACATCCTTTTAGAACTAGAACGACTTTTTCAAAAGAGTGTTGAGAAAAATTCCCATAGGGAAGTTTATGCTAATACTTCCGACACAAAAACAGCTGTGCCACAAGGGCCATTACAGTACCGTGGCTACTAAATAAACTAGGAACAAGCAAGCCACTTGGCAAAGATCTGACCAGTTTTTAATCAAGCCTCATCATTTACTAAAGCAGTATATTTAAAATGTGTGCAAAGTAGCAACGGCTGCTGATTGCTCAACTGGCTCATTCTTCCAGAAAATGCAATAATCGTCAAAGAATACATCCATCACAATCTTTGTAATACATACATATTGAGGGCATGTTAAGGCAAATGGACGGAGAAGAACAGTGCATTTTGTACAGATACTGCTTTTTGGAGTACTTGCTGCCACAGAGCTGCACTTGATAACTTTTTGGTTCAAAGGGCTGCATGTGGTGCAAGCTCAGGAGCTACACATTAGGGATATATGGATGTTGTAACATCTAAACTTTGTGAATTGTTAAGTGCCTTTTGCTCCATCATCTGTTCATTCATGAAATTGGATTTTGAAAAACTGATGTATGCACTTGTACAAATTTGGAGAGATACAAGCTTACACCTCACAAAATGCAAAAATCCTCCTAAAGTAGACAGAAGTCTCTAAAATATGTATTTTCATGTTTTATCCTCTAGCAGAAATGCACCTTTTTGCTTGGTATTTTATTTTTGTATTTTTATGCAAGTAAATGTAAATAAAATTACAGAAAAGTAAACATAAAATAGTCTGGGAAAAGCTGTTGGAGTCTTCAAAATTTGAAGTCATCTGAGTCTGTTAGGTTTCTTTGATATCTCTATTGTGCATGTCTGTGTATATACAAGCATGCACACACACACACATATACCCTCAGCAATGTATGAGGATCTTTGAAGAAGGGAATATAAGGCCTTCTCTTTATTCTTCCCTCTATTACCCTAATAACAGATGACCTTTCCTTGCTGCTTTAAGTGCTGGAAAAGAGAGTTCTGCATGTGAAGGAGGGGAATACAAGTATGGAGAACTTGGTAGTGGTATCTGTTAACCCTCTTGGCTGCAGGTTGTACAGCCCTACCACAAAGCTTAATTGAATACATCAGACATCTTTTGGAGCATAATAGATGAAACCTGAACGAAATAATTTATGGTGCTCTTACACAGTTTAACTATAATACAGTCAAAATGGGCAAAGCAGCAGGCAAAATAACTTCCTGATCTCAAGTAGGAAGAACATATACAAGTTACTGCAGTTACTGATAACTGAGAATGCAGTTATTGATCAATCCATTTGGAATTTATTACTATAATAATGGCCTAGGATACAAAACTTGAATACATACCTTCCCGCTGTTCACTTGACAGCTGCTCTTTGGGAAAGTCTACATCAAATGTAATTATTAAAGAGCCTTTAATGTTGTTGTTGTCAAAATTGGGAAGACCTTCTCCTTTCTTCCACAGTTTAGCTCCAGGCTTTGTGATTTTATCCCGGGCAACATGGACCTAGCAGATGAAGCATGGTGGAGATTGTACAAGATTAGCATCTTTGACCAGCAACTTTTTACATATCAGTAACAGAGAAAGAATAGTATGTATTTGTGTCAACAAAATGCAAATTCCATGTACAAATATCATGGAGATAATGTAAGAATAATGATATCTAAACTGACCATTATCTTCAGTCTCACCTTATGTCCATCTAAATGACCAATATCCATTTCAAAGCCAATGAGAGCCTCAACCAGTGAGATAGTCACATTTGTATATAAATCATCACCTCTTCGTTCAAAGACTGGGTGCCTGAAGACAAAAGGGTAGACAAATATTAAGTACTTCTACAATGAACAAACTCTCGCAAACTCTCTTGTCTATAGAACTAGTATTAATGGTGCAATTCTATGCATGTTGAAACAGAAAACGTCCTACAACTCTCCCACATTGCCCAGTCAGCATGCTGGCAAATTTGACAACACATTTAAAAAAGACAGAGGGACCAAACATTATCCCTTGATTCTGTCACTCCCTGCAAATTTATCCCAGTCTTTGCAGGAGGAGATAATTTTCTAAAAGGATTCATCAAAATATGATACAGTGGAAATGTTTATGCAAAGGGATAAGAAGTACTTGTATAATCTGAACTGGCATCAATGCAATCAAAGCATTTGTCCTTATCTGACAGGAAAATAATTTCTATTTCTGCCATTAGCTGTATAGCAGCTGCTGGAGCCCTGAACATGGCAAAACCCTTTTTATCTTGCCAAATACACAGACTGAATTGGAACTGTTCATTAGTTCCCTTTTGTCAAGTGATAACAACTTCCTCTCTACTGCCTAACTCTTACTCATATAAGAACAATACCGCACTTAGGTGTGGTCCTCAAGCCTAACAATGATGCCAGTTCTGCTGGTGACTGTATTATACACATATAAAATCTTGTGCAGCCTGTTGCTACAGGTAAGGTTCTGTGCAATGAGGTACTACTCCAAGAAGGCATTTTAGAAGAGAACACAGTAAGAATTCTATAGTTGGGCCCTACAACCAGAAAAAAGGAAATCATAGCAGCAACTCTTTGTGGAATTTCTTTTTCCCCAGATGCTTATCACCCCAACCTGATTTAAGATGAAATCACCCTCACAAATCCAATGTAAAACAGCAAGCGCCTTCTTCCAGAAGGCATTCAGCTTCCCCATTCTGTATGTGATGGGGGAGAAAAGTTTCTGCTGCTTCATTCATGTTCCTGCATCACTGTCGAGTGATGATTTAAACATAGGAAAAACCATTAATATGTTTTCCAGTAAGCAAGATAACTTACTTGAGAACTTTTATTCGGAAGCGCAAGTCACCTGGTTCCCCATCAACGTGGGGCTCTCCTAAAGAAGCGTGAATATGGATTAAATTGTGTTAAAACTGATGCAGAAAATCATTTGTTACTTCTCAACAGTGAAACCCAACCCAGATTCTGCTCTGTAAGTTTTCTGTAAGTTACAGAGAACAGTTTCAGTAGGTTACTGTTTCCTCTACCAGAATGAGGATCCATCTTAATGGAATCCAGTATCTATGACAGTGCAGAAGGCACCAGTACAGATTTGAGGCTTGTTTAGATTGAGATAAACATGTAAACTGTTAGTGCCATTTAAGCCAACAACTGGTAGTTTAAATATGGATCCTTATGCTATGCAAGCTTACAGAAAAGTTTACAGATAAAAATAAATACATACATCTTCCTAAATATGATATGCTAGGCCACAAACAAGATTTCATGCCTGCAATAATTTAGTAAAGAATGAAGAGCTACATGGAGATACTTCTGCTTTGATCAATATATGGGTTAACAGAGAATGAGGAATATTTTGGAAACGAGTAAGCATGGGCACTATTGCATGGATAAGAAACAGGAGTAATTGTGAAAAATAAATTCTTATGTCCAGGATCCAAGAATCCTGTGCAGGACTCCCTCATCAAGCATAACCCAGACATTGCCAGAGCACATGGACCAGAATTCTGTAAACAAAAATGACACAAAAGGAAAAAAAAACTGAGTTGTGGCATTGTTTTCTGTAAAACTACAATTTTTAAGCCTCCAATAGTGATACAGCACTCTTTTCAAAACTGGCTTGAGCAGAAAGGAATTCAACTATGCTTGAAAATCAAGAAAAACACACTGGTCCTACAAAGCAAAGGTTATTAATGACTATCTTTCTGAGCATGCTTATTTTTCCTTGAGATCCTATCCCAGTCTTCTCCTGGTTAGCACTATGTTGTAAGCATAAGAAGAGAGGGAATCTTTCTCCCAAGACTGAAGCACATTTTGAAGACACACACTGGGGCAGAATCTGCCACCAAAGGCTGACACAGCAGATCAATTGCACATCTTGATGTCTTCAGTCTGTATTCTGATTTCATATTGCTATGTTGTCTCTTACTGTTCAAAGTGTAAATGAAAGCAAAAAGGATTTAAAAAGAGGTGATTTTTATATACCTGTTCCAGCACCCTAACAGATTCTCTTAACTTGAAAACTAATGAACAATTTTCCTGCTTTCTTACTGACATCAAAAATCCTCTTTTACTAATTCAGCTCCAACAAGATATCTAATTTATTAGAACAGAAATTATTAAGTTACCTTCCCCAATAAAGGGATATTCCATGCTATCTCTCACACCAGGCTCTATCTCCACTTCTAGGGTCCGTTCTTCATTCACAAGTCTGAGAAACAGGAGAGAAAGGCAGCAAACAATTAGAAAGAGGACATGCTTTTACCAAGTAAAGAAGTTTTGCCCTTTGTGACTGTGCTATCCAGACTGTGCAATTGCACTAATGTTTTACAGAGTGGTGGTGCTGAATCTATGTAGGTGGCATCCATAACACAAGAACTAGGCTCAAGCTGTCTCCATCTCAAGAAGCCACCTACAAGAATGCTGCAGGAAGCAGTCACAAGTTCCCACTCTGCATAACAGTGGAAGTACTTCTGTTATTTGGCAGAACAAGTTCAGTCAGGGAAACTGAATTGACAGGGCAACTAATTTAAGTTCCAGTCAGTCTGCCAGAAGGGTTTCCAACTTAAACAGCTTCTCTTACCTGCTTTCATTCCTACAAAAGAACAATATTTGATACCACCATGTGGCTAATACTGGTAATGTATCAAGTCCTTCTAGTTTACTCCTTTCAGTAGTTAAACTTGATCACAAACAACACATACGAAGAGCCAGAGGATGTCAAAAGACTCACTTGACATTGGGACATTCATCACAGACAACTTCTTGGGTCATCTGGAAACGCCCTGGACCCAACTGGGTTGTCCTCATTTCCTGGCGGCAATTGCATTTTCGCTTGCCTGGTGCCTGTCTTGCTACTGGTTTGTTTCGAATAACCTGTAGAGACATACAATGGAATCTCAGGGAAAAAATACTGTTCTGCCAAGGGAAGCTTTATGGAAGAAGGAAACTAAATTTACAGCAAGTCAAGCACTAAGAAAAAAAATGGTATAAGACGTTTCTTCAGTGGTAAAGATATTAAGATATGGAAAGATATTAAAAAATGGAGAAGAATTATAATGGAAAATGTTGGAAATGCAAAGAAGTAGATGGGACTTTCTACCATATGTGGTAGACTTGTGATAAAATTAAAAGATTCTGGAAGCTGATACATGTGGAAATACAAAAAAACTTTAAAAATTAACTTTCCTATGAGCGCTAAGAATATGCTTTTGAATATTATGCCAGAGACCTTTTCAGAGACTATGTCAGAGTTATTTAAATACATAACATCTGCAGCAAGGATTACAATTACTTCTAAATGGAAAACAGCAGAATGTCCAACAACTGAAGATTGAAAATAAGTTGGCTGAGTACGCAGTGATGGCAGTGTTAGCCGATTATAAAAACACAAGACTGAAGAATTTAATGATAAATGGAAATTTTATTATATGCAGTTTAATACAGAACAAAATAGAGCTCATAAAAATATTGATGATTTATACTTTAATGCCAATCTTATGCAATCATTTATAATTGACTTGGGGTTACTGGAAAATGTATTGGCTTAGAGAACTGTAATTATCTTTTTTACGAGCTTCAACAAATACTGATTGACAGAAAGATAAAACTTTTGCTTTTTCTGGAATTTTATAGGTTATGAAATTATGTGTTATATTTGTGTAAGATCCCCTGGCATTCTTATTTCTCTTTCACATTTTTCTGTAATCTATTTCTTTTAAGAAAACAATGAAAAATATTTTTAAAAAGAGTTACACAATCATTCTCTCTCATTCAAATAGTACCATACCAAGCACTTAGTCCAGATGACATGCATAAAGGGGGGGAAAAGTCCCATTTATTTTGGCTTGCCAACCAAGGCTCTACAACTGGCAAGATATAAACAAGGTAATCCATTAATCATCATAATTTGCTTTCTCCCATGGCAGACCAAAATTCAATAATGTAAGTACCGTACATTTAGAAATGCTTAGGTATGCATAGCAGGAATCCACATATTTTGGCTTGGCTTACCAAACAGTGCTTGCTGGTGGGTCACCACCAAGCTTTTTTCTCTGAACTGTGAACATGCTAGATGACTGCAAGTGTGGTATCCATCCCCCTTTGCAAAAGTGGTGCTAGAGACTCAGCTTGCTTCTATTATCCAGTGAAGTGAAATTAAGTATGACCCAGTCCCTACTCTCCATCCTAAGACTTCTGGGCACTGCACAGTAGGCAGGGAAGAGACATGTTCTTGATTCACCATACACAGGACTTTGGAGACAGCAAGAGGCAATGCAAGCCTTTCTTGCTATTTCCCCCTGTGCCTGAAGCCAAATTAACTTGGCAGGAGATGCTTTAATGAAAGATGCCTGCTTGATAAAGACAAAAGGCAGAGGGCTTGATTAGCATAAACCTTAGTTAGAACAATCCACTGCTGCAGCTGTTCCACTGGAACATTAGCACTACCATCTGTTGCCTTAATACCCTCAAGACCAGCTACTAGGCACACAAGCAACAACAACATACTTCACTGTGTGGTCTACTAAAGGCATAGCTATCAGCACCAGCAAAAGCATTTTGCTTTGACATCAAGATCCTACAGTATCAGCAGTTACAGCAACTTCTCAATGGTGATACAAAAGCAATAGTAATGAACAAGTTTGAAGGATGAATACTCTTCTTTCATAAAGTCAATGCAAGATACATCTCAAATATTTGCAGATGGAAAGTTTCAACATAGTACCTTGTTCATGTCTGCTCTAAGTTCTACCCTGATGTCTCTGTTTTAACAAGCGCTCAGCATTGCCACAATCTCAGACCTATCAGTTATTAATAAAATATGTGACCTAGAAACCAGATTTTGAGTAAGCTAAAAAGGCCTGTCAAAGTAGGTTGGCAAACTTACTTCTACAAAATTTCCTGCATATACTTCTTCTAGTGTAACTTCTAGGTCCACAATGATGTCATTTCCTCTTGGAATGTTTCTGTCCTGTTGACGAGGATTGCCTCCAAACATGAATCCAAAGTCTCCAAAGAAACTGTAAAATGAGTGAACATTAGTTTAAAAGAAAGAAAGTCAGTAGATGGGTGATGTTCATTTTTAGTCAATTATAGGGGAGGAGGCAAGGTAGTGCTAGTTAACTCCTTGAAAGATAGGATCAACTAAGTTTACAACCCCTTCCTGAGATCCATTTGGGTGATAACTTCACCTAAGGCACAACTTAATATAAACAAAAATAGTAACTGCTTGTTAGTCCTTGTTAGGGCAAAATCAAACTAGTATGCTCTTAAGAACATATTATAAAACACAATGACCTGATTCACATTTAATTGCTAACTATGGGTTAAACAACCCAGTTTCACTGAAGTAAGTTAGGATTCTGCCTCCCACATGAACTTCACTTCCATTTTCTTTCTGGATTGCAAAACTATTTAGGAATGTCCCATTCCTGGGTTATTATTGCTGTTCCCTGTCAACTCAGCTATCTGTGTTGAGAGAAACAATCCAGAATGCTGGGATTTTATACCACCACAGCAACCTGAGTTGTAATATTAGCCTTTTAACTGTCAAAAGGGTATGGAGAATAAATTTATGTTGATCTTGTGATAAATCTCAAGAAACAGCACACATGCAACTGTAAACAGTAAAGAACTTTCCATCACAAAACTTACCTGAATTATTATTTCCTCCCAAAAGAAAACAGCCACTGGACATTAACAAAACATATGAGTAAGGGAAGCATTATTTTATTATACTTCCAGTAATTGGCTGATTAGTTAAACCTTTATTAAACAGATGTTGTGGTACTGAGAATATACAAAACATTATTTATGCTGGGTTAAATGTAACCTAAGATCTGGCACCTCTTTTGAAGCAGATATCAATCAACTCTATTGATTGGGCAAAACAGGTTTATTCCAATTCATTATCCCATTCTTGAGTAAGAGTATGTGTGTCATATTTGTTCACCAATAATATGTATCGACTAGTATGAAATATGGCTCAGTGTTGCTATTGAGCCTCAATCAATATTTCCAAAGAAAAATGGGGCTCTGAAGTTGTAAAAGCAGCAGGGTCAAACTGAGATTCTCTCAGCTGTTTCAGTAGCATGTATTGCCATTCAGTTGTAACTGGCAATTTGCACTTAGCATGCGAAACAAAGAACGGTAAGAAATTATCAGTGAAGAGCTATAAGCTGATCCAAAGTAAAAGTCACCCTGCCTGTCTAAATTTGTCAAACTTCTTCTTGTGAATCTTTACATCTTGGTTTGCCATAGAATTAATTTTGCAATTCACATGAGACTATGTGGCACACCTAACACGCTCACCTACTGCCATGGTAGGAGGTACCATGTCAGGCTCAGCAAAGTAGCACATCTCCCCTGGCTCCTTGTTAAAGCACGGAGCCTGGCTCACCTTGCAAGTCCTTGCAGGATTGGTATAACCCTGTAGGTGCTTGCAGAAGTTACAGGAAGAGCAACAGGAGGTGGTACAAAAGGCTGCTCAGTCCTGCATAGTATTGCCACAGCAACCTGAGCATTCATGGCAGCTGCTTAATGCTCCTGATCTGGCTTCTGCCTTCAGTTCTGCCATGTCTTCATCTGTGCCTTTGCTCCTTCCTCTTCCTAATTCTGTCTTGCTTCTGTTCCTACCTGGCAAATGTGTGGTATCTGATCCTTGCCTCCTACTGGGCTCTGGTTCTACCATGCATTGTTGGTGCCTGACCTTTTCTTGCTCTTGCTTTTCTCATTGGTTCTGCCACAACTTGTCATTATCTGACCCTTGCTTATTCCGGACTTCACCTTCACCTCTGGTTCTGCCATGTCTTGCTGGGTATCTTGCAGGTTATCTATTCCTGACTCTGTCTTTGGACTTACCATTCCTTTTCAGTATCTGACCCTTGGCTGTACTTGACTGTCTTTCTCTCTGGCTCTCTTTATTTTGCTGGGATCTGATCCTTGTTTGTACCTGGTTTCACCTTCTCTAGCTCTACTGCATCTTACCAAGACCTCCATCGTCCTCAGTTCTGCTTTTCTAGTACCCGAACTACTACTTATGGACTAAAACACCCTATCTTGAGAATCCAATGCAATTCCTAAGAGGACAGGATTGAAGCATGGACATTTCAAAATTGAGTGGAGGAGAAGTCAAGCCAAAAAGATAAAAACTTAATACAAGTCATTACGTAGCCTTGATGACATAAAGAATGATCAAGGAAGAGAAAATCACCCTCTTTAATCAAAAGCTGCATCCTTTTCAAATTTAGCTTGATCATTTAGTTCATCCTTAAGACTTGTCTTTAGAGACAAGTATTTTCAGATAAATTATGAACCCTGGGTAAATTGCCAGGAAACTAGCATACTATGGGGTATGGTTGACTAAAAATGTAATAGCACAACATTGGAAAGACAAATGGCCACCTGAACTAACACAAAGAATGGAAGACTTGATAAATCATTCAATTATTGAATGATTGGTTTTTAGGCATAATTTATAAACAGATACATACATGGGTATCTGGGCTGTCTTTGCTGAAGTCTATCCATAGTTATCTTTAACAACGGTTGTACATCTTGTCATATATAAAACATATATGGACACACAATACAGATGTACTCAGTGTAACAGATTCACTCAGATTTCATTATTGTTCTTTTAGGGTTTTGTTTTTAAAATTCACAAAAAAGCAATACTGAAACAGAAAAGGAACCTGGGCTGTTCTTGTAATCAAGGAAGAAAGTGAAGTAGTAAGTGTGCAGGAGACAGCACTCTTGTTTGCTTTGGTGTAGTTATCACTAACTATGGTTTCTGACATATGCAGCTAGCAGTTACATGTGAAAAGATTGACAACTATGAGAACCAAAGGTTCCAAACTACTAGTTCTAAGAGGTCAGACAGTGTGCTATTTACTTGTGTGTTATGGCTTTAGTATGCTATTCTTTCCATGACAGAGAATAATGTTGTAATGTAATCGTACAATCTCCACTGATCAATAAGAAGATCCACAAGATAATAACAATAAAATATGGAAGTAGTAATGGCTTTGGGGAAACTAACATGGATATCCTCACACTGAATTGCAAGGTAAAGCTTACTCTCCTGGACAAGATAGCTTGGAGGAAGAAAAGCACACTTACTGTGAAAAAATATCTCCATGGGAACTCTGGTGACCCTCTTTCAACCCCTCTTCTCCATATGCATCATACTGCTTTCGCTTTTCTTCATCTGATAATACCTGTAGGGGGAAAAAGTGTACACATATGCATTAGACTAAGTTTTAAATAGCATGCTTACCTAGAACCTAATCCTAATTGCTTCTCTACCAAGCAGAAAAATATCATTGATTTCTCTTAAGAAAGGGTCTTAGACCTCAGAACAGTCTAACATTAAGGTTAAGATTTTAAATGCATTTATTCTTGGGACTGTGAGAATGAAGGAGAAGCAGCATTACCTAACCTAGATATAATTTGTGATTTTTATCTTGACACCACAGATCTATAATATAGTGATAATTTTATGAGGGGTACAAACTATTATTATTTCCTTGCCCCTGACTTTCAATCAACATTCAAAGGTTTATGCCTTATACAGTTCATTTGCAGCCCAATACAAGACTTACTCAAAAATAAGGCCCACTTAATTCAGTACTTGATACTCTCCCATTTATTGTGCTCAGAAATGCAACCTTAGTAATATAGAGAAGACCTTAATCTCAGCACAAGTGGCAGTCAGCTAGGTCAAACTAGTTAGCAAGCTCCTAACAAGTAGTTATTCTTTATGGAAAGGGTTTTTTCTCCCTTCCCCATCCACATGAAGCTTTTATTGTGTGATCATCTTGTCACAAACTTTATCCTGTCAGAACTTTACTGGGGCTTAGGAAACATCATCTTCCATTTTCACCCTCCCATGGCCCAAAGCTTCTTCTAGCTTTTTCCTTATTATTTTCTCCTCTGCTAAGCAGATAACACTAGAATAATTACCTTTTCATTGGTAGTGCTCAAAGCTGTCCTTTGGAAGCACCTTATGTACAATGTATGTTGTAGCCTGTTCAGGTTTGCTCTCCCACTATGTCAGGGGTGCAGAATAACCAGCCCACTGGGTTCCCCAATCTGGCCTGCTGAACTTCCTGGTATCTTCCAGGGAGCAGGACTTGGCCTAAAAGTTGCACCAAAGGAGGAAGGAAAGCTCACTCTGTGTTCCCAAGAACTTTCAGGGGAGCTAAGTACCAAGCTCTACCTAGCCCTTAAAGTAGTATGATAAAACCATTTTAGTTAACCAACTATTAACTTTAAGAAGTTATATCACTTAAAACACTGTCCACAGAACATATTAAACACTGACACAACATTCTAATGGTGTCCTGGACAGACATTTCCTAAGCACACTGACCTCATAGGCAGCCCCGAGATCCTGGAACTTTTCCTGCGCACGTGGATCATCGGGGTTCCTGTCCGGATGAAGCTGCAAAGCTAATTTTCGATAGGCCTTTTTGATATCTTTAACTGATGCACTACGAGGCACTCCTAAGATCTTGTAGAAATCTCTCCTGAAAAACAATGAAGTCAGTTGCTTGTCATGCCCCTCTTCCTTTAATGTCAACCTATGCTTAGGTCACAAGTTAGATGACAACAAGAGGATACATTTCTCTCTTCTCACCAATACTATTAATAGTTACTACAGTTATAATCTACCGAGAAACTCTTACATCCAGATTACAGCTGGATATACAAACAGCATATAAGCTTATCAGTTTATTATATTTATTTTTCCTTTCAGGTAACTCAAGGAAGCTTACATAATGCTCCAGTCAGTCTTACCCTCACAACAACAATCCTGTGAAGTAGGTAGGGCTGAGAGTCAGTGACTAGTCCAACATCACCCAGCGAGCTCCATGGTTGCATGGGGACTAGAATCCAGAACTTCTGAGTCCCAATCCTGCACTCGTAACCACTAAAACACACATTTATTGTAGGTATGTATTTGTCATTCTTTAATAACTTTTCCAGGGTGGTTTACATTTAAAACTCCACCACCACCACCACAGCACCCGTCAAGATTAACCCAATCAATCTGAATTTAAAGGTCTGAGAAAATATAATGGACTTCGCCTAGTTTCAAAATGACATTTGAGTAGGTACTGGGCAAGTCTCCCCAAGGAAGACCTTCCTACTGGTAAACCATAACAGAGAAGGTCCTTTCCCAAATATCCATCCCCTGGACCTCAAATGAGAGAGAACATAGGGGAATGCCTCTGATGACAATCTTAACATACAGGCAGTCACATGTGGAGACTGGTGATGCTTGCTTACAGTGAACTGCATTCGCCAATTTGATGTCCATCCTCCCAGCTTGGAGAGATCCCTTTGGAAATCCTCACAATCCCTTTTGGTTTTAACTGCCCGAAATAATACAGTGTCATCAGCAAGTCATACTTGGTTCATCAGCCTAACTAGCAAAGGGCATTCCTTGTCACAAGGCAGCCTGCCCCTCAAGTGACAAATGATCAGTGAGCATCCTTCAGAGGAATTACAACTCCATTCAAGACAATAAATATCAATCACCCAGAAAGATAAGCTACCACTGAGTACCTGGACTGCACCTTTGTTTATTGTCCCTTGGTTCATTATAGTAACCAATTGTTAAAAACAAGTACTTAAACATGTCTGTGGAGGAAGTTTTAACAGATGCATCTTCTTTTGCCCCCAACAACATAACGTGAGGCATACCTATTCATGTATTACACTTGGATCACACTTTTCCTTCAAGGAACTCATGCAATCCTTCCCTTTATTTTTATCCTCACAACAACCCTACAAAGTATGTTAAGCTGAAAGAAATGACTGGCCAAGGCCAATCCGCCAACTTCATGCCGGGGTGAGTTTCCCAACCTGGGTCCTCACAGTCACAGCCTGAAACTGTGACGACTACTTCACACTGGCCCCATTACACGACACCTACAGGAACCCAAATTATGAAAAACACAGGAAACTGGAGTGACTCCTGCTCATTCGAGAGAGGAGGAGGAGGAGAAAGGAACCAAGATGACCAGGAAAGTGAGAGGAGGCAGCCCAGCCTGGGTGGTGGAAGAAGCAAACCCCCAGCACCACGCGGGGGAAGAAGAGGTGTCATTGTGTGGAGTCAGAGGCGGTGCGGAAACGGAATGGAAGAGGTGAAGCATCGCCGCCGCGAAAGACCTTCTGTGGCGGCGGCGGGGGGGGGGGGTGACGAAAACGGACCAACGGGGGTTCCACCCTATCGCGAGGCCACCTGCGAGGGCTGCAGCGTGGCTGACGTTTCCTCCCTGCCCCTTCCCTCCCTGCCCCTGGGCTCACCCGGCAATGGCGTCCCCAAGTAAGCACAACAACAACAGGAGGAGAGCGCCGAGGGAGCGGGGGGACATGGCGGGGTCTCGTCGAGCAGGTTCCGCGCCCCCACCTCACTCACTCGCCGGTAACCATAGGCACGAAAGAGAACCCGGTGAAGGGAAGCGACCAATCAGTACCCGGCACAGCATATCCCTCTCGTGCGCCGTTAGCCAACCACAATCGCACACTTCACCCGCGACCCGGCTAGATTCGGCCAATCGGGAGCAACTGCGTCAACACATTGGGACACACGAGGGAGCGCCTCGTTGTCGTGCATGTCCAATCTTTGTGTAGGGCACTGTGGTGACGTAAAACAGAGTATAAAGGGGAGGAGAGTTGTGGTTTCCTATCCAGAGACATCAGACAAACTTTTTCTAAGTTTGTATTTCCTCTTCGACTTTTAATGGAATATTATTAATGGAATATTTTAAAAAATGGCGATATCAAATCCTCCATGTTTTTTAGGGCGTACAACCTGTATCAGTCCTGGCCAGCATAGGCAATGGGAAGAACCATGAGACATGCAGGCAACTGTTGAGGGCAATCAGTTGCTCCTTCCTGATGGCGGCAAATGACAGCCCAAACTCCCGTCATCCGTGGCCATGCTGGAACCCAACGAGATCTGAAGGGCCGCAGTTTACCCACTGCTGCGATAGAGCGACAGCCAGTCCTACGTTTTTGTCATAAGTAACGGGACTTACACTCCCTTATACGTGCGCAAGAGATTGCAGGTCAGTGAGAAGAGTGAGAGGATTTCCACGTCGGTGTATATTGTGCCTTCTTTTTTTTTTTTACACGTGAACCGTGACGTATGTGGCCTCGAATTGGGGCGCTGTCACGGAGACAGCCTCCCATTTCTCTTGTGGGATTCCTCCCGTGCAGAGAGGGCGCTGTTGGGCCCTGTCCATCGCAATCCCTATTCCAGCAGGAATGCGCGGAAATGATAGAAAAGGACTCGGCGGAAACGCGGAGGAGGGGTGGTGGTGGTTGTCGTGGGTGTGTCTTAGCTGTTCATAACAACGGTCCGGTCGTTCTAGGCGAACGTCTCTTTTGAAAGTGCCCCGGGTGAGAGTGTTGCTCAGGATTGTTGCCTGATATGAGACTGCGCAGGCGCAGCGGGTGCGAACCGCGGGCGTTTGAAAGCCGATCGGCTGCCAGACTTAGCGGGGTGGAGGCGTCGGTTGAGGCGGGCAGGTAACCGGAGGCGGGCGGTGCCCCCGTGGGTGGCCGGCGGGCCCACCGCCGACGGCGGCAGACAGCTCCGCAAGTTAGAGCTGAAGGGTTCCTCCCCTCACGGTACGGAGTTTCGGTACCATCCTAGAGGACCCTCTTCCCTAAAAACGGAGATGCTGAGCGAATAATATAGCTCACAACAACCTGGCGCCATTCGGATGTTTTGAACTACAACTCCTAGTATTCATGGCCGTTGTCTATGCTGGCTGGAGCTTATGAAAGTTGAAGTCGCTGACTGCTAGGTTTTATTATATTGTATAGTTTGCCTTTTTTTTTTCCTTGCAAGGAACCCGAGGTGGCTTACATTTTTAAAATATTCTCCTTTGCATTTTATCCTCATTACAGTCCTGTAAGGTAGGTTAGGCTGAGAGTCAGCAACTGGTTCAAAGTCACCCAGTAAGCTTCATGGTTGAATGGGAACTGGACTTTGGATCTTCTGTGTCCCAGTCCAATACAAACCATCTCAAAGACTTCCTGGCTGTATGCTGTCTCTAGTAGAGAGTGTGCTCTTCTATATCAGTTGTTGGGAAGCATATGTGGAAGGGGGCTATTGCATTTATATCCTTTTTTGGGCTATCTCCAGGCATCTGGATCTCCACTGTGGAAACAGAATGGTGAATTAGACAGGCCTTTGGTTTCATGCCGAATGCCTTGTGCTACTGTCAATAACTTGGATGAGAACAAAGCCCTATCTGGTTTATCACTCTGTCACAGCCTTTCCCAACCTGGTCCCCTGTTGGTGTTTGAGTGCAAGAACTGGCATTTAACTTGCTTGTTAGAGAGGTAGAAGTTCCCCTTATAGCAGCCATGATGATTCTTTTTCAGCAGGGCTTGTCCTTCTATCTGCTTACTGAGTCTATCCTTAATAATGCATTCAAGCAGCTTACCTAGAACAGCTGTTAAGCTAAACAACCTGTAATTTTCCAGATCCCCCTGGATCCCTTTTTAAAAATTGGTGTTATGTTGGCCATTTCCCAATCATCTGGTACAAAGGCTGATTTTAGGACATGTTAAATATTTGGTTAAAAGGTCTTCATTTTCATGTTTGAATTCTCTGAAAACTCTAGAATGGATACCATCTGTATCAGGTAATTTATCGATTTTCAGTTTATCAGTAAGGTAGAGAATTAAATCTATTGTCACTACTATGTGCCTTAATTCCCCTGACTCCCTTCCAGGATACATAAACTTAGGAACAGGTAGGTGCTCTGCTGTGAAGAATAAAGAAAAAAATCATTTAGCTTCTCTGCAATCTCCCCCTCCCCCCTTAGTGCTCCTTTAATTCCCTTATTGTCCCATGGTTTAACTAGTTCTTTAGCTGCTTTCTTCTGACATATTTAAAGAATTATTTATTGTTGACCTTGATGTTGTTACCAATATGCTCCTCAAACGATTACATTACTTCTAAGTGTCTGCTTGCTTCTTGTTTGTGCAAGCTTGTTGTCATTTTTTAATGGACAAGATCTCTCTGTCTAGTGCTAAAAAGACAGCTCCTCCTAAAAGTTAGTTGCCCACGAGGGCTATATAAGATCTAGTGATTGGCAGACCCATCAAACCATGGTTCATAGCTTAAGTCCAAGTATTAATTTCCCCTGTCACATAGAATGTTTTGGTTCCACATATATTGAAATGTGTGTTATCAATGAACAGAAATATATAATGATCAGCAGGCAATAGACCATTGTTAACTGCTTATGACTTCCTTATGCAAAGGTCCAGAAACACCTAGTATTCGCAGCTGGCTTGAGAAACATCCTTCCTTTCTTTTTATCAAATTCAGATGTGAGAGTCTTGTAGCTGGTCAAAATGGATCATCCCACAGTCAGTTTATGGGTGAAGATGGAACCTTTCATTGTGGGAGCCTTGCAAATCTCACCACCCTCCAAGTTTAGCATGCATTACCTTCGAAAAATGTCAACTTATGTCCGGATGCGTTCTGGCGAAGGCTATTATCCATGCCTTTCTTGGCCTATGTGGCGGCATATTGCTTGTGGGAAGCTGCAGCTGAACAAGGATCTGGCTTGGCTTTACTTTGAATTATTTGACAGTCTTGTTGAACGGACGTCACTGGAGCAATTTGAATGGGCAGAGGTCATGTCCAACTGTTCAACTGAGGAAGAGCTAGAGAAGCAAAGAAATAAGGTATGAAATAGCATTTTCAATATTATATAATCTGGTGTATGCTCTTCGCAGGAATCTTATTGGGGCTGGGTTTTAATGCACAGAACAATAGCTTATTTCTTTCTGTACCTCATGTGGGTGTGGGGGTGTATCAGCCACTCTGTAACATGCGGTTAGGTTGATTTAAGCCCACTGAAATTGGCACTACTTTAAAAGAAGTCAAGCAGTGGTCTGCCTGCATTTTCCATGCTTTACTGCATTAACTTGTTGTTGACTATAAAACAACTGTCCCTGCTAAAGAATATGATTCTTAATTTTCATTTTCAAAAATTAAACTTCTGTTCATCTCTCCATAGTTATCTGTGGATACTCTTCAGTTCCTACTGTTCCTTTATATTCAGCAACTAAACAAAGTCTCCTTGAGGACATCTCTGCTTGGAGATGAGTGGCCAAATCCTAAATCTAAGTCTTACAGTCTGACTGGAGAATCCACGAATCAGATTAAGGTATTGCTTTGAACTACTTTTTAAGTGTCAGCTGTCTTCCTCCTGTTGAAGCAATCTGTAAGTTTGAGATTAGAAGGGAAGCAATTGAAAAAAATTGAGGTTAGCTCATAAAAATACAATGCACTTAAGGATATCATTTGACATCAGTTTACATTTCATGTAAGAAGTAGTCCTTCTGATAAATATTTAAAATGGACTATTCTGGCATGTCTTAGTTCAACAAAATATTTCTTAACATAAAATTTCTCTTGTGATGCTTCTAACAGTTGAGTCTGTTGCAAGTGTTGCAAATATTGGTAAAACATTCATGTATCTTAAATATCTATAAAATAAAAAAATAGTAATTTCACTTATTTGTACATACATTCAGAGTAGAGCATTTGAAAAATAATGAACTGATCTAGGGGAAAAAACAAAGGTACAACTTTGCAGTCAAACCATCATCCAGTATATGATGCATATGCCTAATTTTTGGTTAAATTTTTGTCTAGATTAGCCTTTGATGTGGTATCTGGGCATGCTGGCTTGGGATGATGGGAATTGTAGTCTAGCACAACTTGAGGCCACCAAATTAGGGAAGGCTGAGCTAGTGAGAACTAAATTTATAGCTCTTTCCCTCTCAATGAAGACAGCCTTACATATATACTGTAAGTTGAGGAGTACTTTCTTATGCTCTGTATCAAATCCCTTTGCTGTGCAATTTATGTTTGTGTCTTCCATATACAGGGAAAATGTTGATGAGCTTTAGGGTATTAAGAGCATTTAAATTTCTGTCATTTTTTAAAGTGCTTGACTGTTACATGATGATCAGTTTGTAGGAAAACTGAACAGGAGCTCCATGATTCCTTTTACATTTGGATGGCTAGTTGCAGTGGGTAGCAAATGAAAGAGAACTGAATGAAAGAACGATTTATATTGTGTTGAGCTATTGTGAATGAATTGTACATGTTAGGATTTTGATTTTATGAAAACTTGTCCTGTGTATGATTGATTCTTCTTGTTGTTGTTGTTTTTTTTTTGTTGGTTTGATCCAAGAATTGGAATGACAACTACCACCAAGAATTTGTCCAAAACCATCTCCAGGATCTATTGGAACTGTTATTGGACCCAGATCAGCTCACTGCTTCCTCTCACTCCACTCACAGTAGTTTGGTTTCACCTGAAGCTGTTCGAGCACTCAGCTTCCTTATTGAAGGGTCTGTGAACAAGAACAGGACTGTTCACCGTCTGCACGAGCTTGCACTTTGGCAGCCGCTGCATGCAAGGAGTGGCTTTTCAAAGATCTCCAAAGCCTTCTGTTTTTCCAAGCTTGAGTCCTGGCTGAGGGCTTGTCTTACTGAGAACCCATTTGGCACATCAGCCTGTCTCAAGTCCGGGAAGAAACTTGCATGGGCACAACAAGGTACAGGTACCTCTGGGGTCTGTCTGTCACTCTCCAGAACTCAGTTTCCTGTATTGCAGCGTTCTAGGTCTTTTTGGCCTACATAACTCCCACCAACTTGAGCAAGCATAGCCAATGGTGAAAGATTATGTGAGTTGTGGCCCTTCTGGTGTTTTGGCTTATAAGTTTCCCACCCCTGCTATGCTGTAAGAAAGCATCTGTTAAACAATTGGACAGATTGCTGAATTTTCAATGTTCTTCTTTCCCACCAGCCAAGTTTTCAGGTTGGAGAAGGAGCAATAAGTAGTTGCTTCTGGTGGCGCTGCTCTGGTCATGTCTTTATTGTCAGATGTTTTAGCTTAAAACTGATGCCCTCAAGTATGAAAGCCTATTTGGTGTTTTACTTTAGGTGCTTAAATGGCAGCACTCAAGTCAAATTTGTTTAGCAATAACAGTGGGTATCAAGTTTGTGCAGGGTTTCAGTCCAGTAACTCATAAAGACTGATCTTGGATTTCCCAGCTCTAAGTCTCAAACCTTATGTTCCTGACCATGTTGCATTTATTCATACCAAATAGTATGTGCTTGTGTCTCTTCCTTGCATAATGCAGGCAGTTTAGGTTAAGCTGATATCTCTAAGTATCCTCTCTGTTAGGAATGGTAGTACATTTCTTATGTTAAGTTTGTTCTTTATTGTTGTACTTTCTAAGGACATAGTAAAACTTTTGTGGCTCTCTTGTTCTTTTGTCATATGTGGGGAATGCAACTGTTCATCTAAAGTCATATAGATTTGAGTCCACTGATGTTGTTATCAATTGGAAGGAGGCTACCAGTATGTTTGCCTAATGTGTGATTAAAATGAAGACTTCTTAGTGAGATATTTTACCATATGGGCAGTGCGTAGCGCCAAAATGTGCTCCTGCTATTTCCATTGGACTTGTAGGGCCCATTGCCTGCACAACAGGAGCTAGTGTTTCTGACAGTAATTCCTGAAACAAATAGAAACACCATTCTAAAATTGGAACTCTACAAGGATCTTGCTACAGAATCTGCCAGCTTTCTGTGGTGCTAGTGATGGGTAATATTTCATAATTTCAGTAAAAATGAAAGACTGTAGAAGTGCATATTACTTTGAGGAAATATATTGGTTATGCATACATAAGGTCTATTTATGTATTCTGAGGCTGTTAGAGTGAAACTTGCTGTTAGATGTCATGGGGAACACTGGCTTACAGAAACACTTTAAATATCCCGCCCCCCATGTTTAATTATTCTTGCAGTTGAAGGAACAACCAAGCGAGCCAAGATAGCCTGTAGTTCTCATATGGTCCCCTCAGCCCATCGCATGGTTGTGATGAGCCAAGTTTACAAGCAAACACTGGCAAAGAGCTCAGATACGTTAGAAGATGCTCATGTGAGGATTCATCGCTGCTGTGAATCATTCATTTATTTGCTGTCTCCACTGAGGTGAGTTAGTCTTCTCCAGTCAACCTTTCGACCTCATTTCAAATGTATGTGACTTATTCTGCTTTGTTTCCCCTCTGCTTTAATTTTGTTGGATTCCCCTCTCTTTCAGATCTGTGACCATAGAGAAGTGCAGAAATAGCACCTTTGTGCTGGGCCCGGTAAAGACGGTCATTCATCTCCATAGCTGTGACAATGTCAAGCTTATTGCTGTTTGCCATCGTCTGTCTCTGTCGTCAACCACCAGCTGTACCTTGCATATTCTTACCCCAACTAGACCGCTCATCTTACTGGGCAACCAGACATTAACTTTTGCCCCCTTTCATACCCATTATCCAATGCTTGAGGACCACATGGGCAGGGCTGGCCTGGCTACAGTGCCTAACTACTGGGATAACCCAATGTTGGTATGCAAAGAGAACTGTGACGAGAATGTGTTCAGACTCCTTCCACCCGCTGAATTTTACCCCTTTGTTGTTCCGTTTGAAATGGAAGGAGACACAACAGAAATACCTGGTGGGCTGCCACCTGTGTACCAAAAGGCACTGAGTCAGCGAGAACAGAGGGTACAGATTTGGCAGAAGACTGTGAAGGAGGCAGGCTTGACAAAGTAAGTAACAGCTTTCTTCACATTTAATAGCGAGTATGCTAATTCTCTGTGACTGACTTCTACAACACACTTCATTTGTACTTTTAAGCAAGTCTGATTGGCTTGTATTAACATAATAAAATTTTGAGTTAGAAAGTCATGGGCTGGATCTGCCTGGAAATGGGGAGGGAGGGACAGTTTCAGTGGGCTCCAGAGTATCGGCGAGCATTTTGGTACTTGTAGATACCATGTTTGAGGTGCCCAGGAATTTAGCACTGTAGGCTTAGGATGCAACACTCCGCTTGCTTAAGTCGCAAACTCCTACCAAAAGCTCCTGGGGGATTTTAGCAGTTGTATGACTTTATTCTGTCTAAATGTTCAACCTTCATAAGTTCATTCTCTTTATGATCTGTTCGTTGTTTTTAAGATCAAAGTTCAAAAAAATTTTTTTTTGCTCTTTTGCTGTTCTTTTTGATTGTCTAAATGTGAAATATTTATCTTCTCTTTTAGCAAATTATGTAATTATATCCAAACAGGGAGAAAAATACTTTAAATGTTGCCACTGGTTTTTCATTACTTGGATTGAAAAACAGTGAGGAAGTTTGGCATGGGAGCTTTGCTGTACATTTTGAAAGGATGGTGAAGTCTTAATTTGGTCTTGCAGGCCTTTGGAGCAGGTAGTCTAATATCCTTTATCTAAGGTACTCTGCTGACTTCATGTCTTTGCACACACTTAAAGGGCAACCCTATAGTAAGTTTAGACAGAAAAATGCCTACAGTTCCCAGCATGCCCCAGCCAATATGGTGGGAGTTGTAGGCCTTTTTCTCTGCCTAAAGTTGCATAGGATTGAACTTTTATTCTTAAATGTTTTTAACACTGTAAGCCAAGTCAGATGCTTGACCTCAGCCATGTGACCTGATAAATACTATTTAAAAGTATTTAAATCTTGGAAAATAAAATCTGCATATCCTTACCTAGACTTAGAAGCAGTGTGCCTGCTTGAATACGTTCTTTCATGGATTGGTCTATGGATGGAAGTAGCTCTCATTTGTCACCAAAGAGAAGGCTTGAATAATATGAAAATGAGTTGAATTGTATATGCTATGTGCTAATATTTTGGTTTCAGGCAGCAGAGGAAAACATTCCAGGTGTTGGTGGAGAACAAGTTCAATGAATGGCTGGTCCACACAGGCAGACATCAACAGCTTGACAGCCTGGTGCTTCCTGCTGCAGGAGCTAAGCAGGCAGCAGGATAGGAGTCCCTTTGAAGTAACATCGTGGTGAGTTCAACGATTCTGTGTTCCCTACTGCATTTTGAAAAACCACTACCTTTTGTTTTGTGCCAGTCTCTGGGAGAGAAAAAGACAAAAAGGAAATACTTCTTCATAGTGCATAGCTGAACTGTAGAACTTGCTATCACAAAACATAGTGATCACTGCCAATTTTGAGAGCTTTTAAGAGCTGATTCATGAATTCATAAAAGATGGTTGTCAGTGGCTACTAATGATGGCTTTTTATCATTTCCAGGATCAGAAACAGTATGCCTCTCAATAGCTGTTGAGGAGCATGGGAAGGAGGCTGCTATTGTACTCATGATCTCCTTGTGGTCTTCCTACAGGCAACTGGCTGGCCACTGTGGGAACAGAATGGTAGACTAGATAGGTATTTCATTTCCTCTAGCATGATGGTTACGTATGATCAAATGGGTACACTCATTGCCCTTATGGATTAGATTAGGTCCAAATGTTTACTTTAGCCTTCTCCAGCCTGGTGCCTTCCCAGTCTGTTGGGAATTAAAGTTCAAAGCATCTGGAGGTCACCATGTTCAGGGAGGTTGCCAAGGCTCCATCAAGCAATCAGTAAGTTTAAAAGGTTTAATTGGTAGTGAATCACTTGAAGGCTTTAGTTTTTAGAAATACTTTTATTAAAAAACCAAGCCTCTTCAAATTGCACATTATATAGAATTAACAATGCACTATACTGGATATTAGCTACCTTCTGTTAAGTTTGTATTTCTTGGAAAGTCATTCAGACAAGGTGTCATACTCTAATACCAGCTTGTCAATATTCTATCAACGACACATCCTGAATAACTCATTTCTCTTTCTGATTGTTGAGATCTGCAATTCGCAAGTTATAATTATTTCATGGCAGAGTTCCACTGTTTTTGATTGGACTTGATGCCCTTCTACAATTTTTACCCCCAGAATTCTGATAGGCTTAGGGAAGAGTGGTGTCTTGTCCCTGGGTCTGAACTTTAGAATTGGAGGTTTTGTTGGTTCAGTATGGTTCCAAAGCTCAGCAAGAATGCGGTGTCTTGCCCTTTTCCATTTAAGAGGAGCTCAGGGGCTCTTCCTCATCATTGTGCTCAGCTTCAGGGATGTATCACTGCTGTCACACAGAGCTGCTGAAGAGGAGCTCTCAGTGTGGGCTGGGGCAGGTGGTCCTAACTTGTTTAACAGAAAGTTTACCACTAAGTACATTTTTGGTCCTAGTCCATTCTTGAAATCTCTGTATTGTCTCTCTTCTGTCTATATTCATTGCAAGCTCCTTGTTTTTCCATTGAAAGCTTTGCCACATGCTCTACTGATTTTTTGTTTCCCCTTTTTCCTGCTGTTCTTCACAACCTCTCGTTTGTGCTTCCAGTTTCATTTTCAAAGTATAAGCAATGCCTGTCTGTGTCACTTGCTTTCCATCAAGTTACTTCTCTTTCTTTCAGCAAATTCTCAGCCAGTGTGATGCCACCTCAGTTTCACCTTCTGCTCTTAGTTAACTGTCTTCCAACTTGGTGTTCTTAGTCTTGTATCAGTGGTTGATCTTGTACATCATGCTAAGCCACCATGACAGTAAACCTGCAAAACAGTCAACAGTACTTTTGACAGAGGGCACGTGGCTGCTTGGCATGGCTTCTTTCATGTGCAGTCCTCCTGAATGTCTGCTCTTAGCATCTATCCTAGCTACCTTTTGGGTTCCAACCTCTCTCAGATTATTACATTCCTGACAGCCAGGAGCTCCCTCTCCTGACAGCAACATAGCTGTCAAATCTGCAAGTTACAAAGCACAAAATATTCCTGACAGAGAAACTCCATCAGTCCCAAATATAACCCCCTTTCCTCCCAGCCCTTTCTTCATATTTGTAGACATTGAATCAGTATTTGTTAATTTTTGGTTCTTCAAATTTACATGAATTGGATTACTTTTTGTTTCCTTTGGTCCTTCACAAGCACACACATCCACAGGCCCACAGTTTACATTCTTGAATTGAACCATCATTTATTTATTTAAAACTTTTTTAGACCATCCGGTTACTGAAGTCTTGGGATGGTTTGACAATACAAATATATATATATATAACAACAGCCGATAATGCAATACACAAGACATTGATATCTTGTTTGCACATCTTGAAATGCTGTTTGTCAAGTTCATTTTCTCATATCATCTTGAAATACCAGCTGTCAAATTCCTGGTTCACCTGGATGCTTGCCTTTACTGTAAATTCCTAAAGGGACAGCTAACTAAGATGGAGACTTCTGCTGCAGTTGTAATTACTGTGGCAATATGGAATGGTTATTCCTGTTTTGCACATTTAACAGTTCATGCAATATATGAATATAATAAAATAGAAAAGTGTGCCATGCAGTAGCCCTGTCAAAGCGCATATTTGCATACTTGTGCATGACCAGAGGAAGAAAAATCCAGCAGGTTTGTGTGTCACTCTAATCCTGCAGTTATCCATGGTGACAACCCACTGTAACTTATCAAGTGTGCGCCAAGTCATGGGCTGTGTTCTTACATCACAGCCAATACTCAAGTTGAACATGAATTGTGTGTGAGCTGTTGTTGTGTCATGGGTTGTTGTGTTGTATGAACAGAGCCATGCTAACAAGCTGTGCTTTATTAACCATGAACAACCCACAGATGAACTCATGGTCTGTTGCAGGGTCACAAGCTATGCATTGTTCCTGATTAACTGTAGTTTGTTAGTGTGACTGGGTTTGCATGGTCTCCTTGGTACTTCATACAGTACTGGCAAATAGCTGCTGATGCTTAATAGGCATAGTATTATAATTTCATGCTTCATTTAGTTCTTACCTGTATAGATTTAGTTGTTTATGGGTGGTAAACTAAACTGAGCACTTCCCCCCATAATTAGATTATTTCCATGTGTTTTATAGATGCCATCTAAAGAACTGCTACTATAGGGTCAGAAAGTTTTAGGTTTGTTGATTACTAGATTGAACAAATAAAAATTTGTCTGCTTTGTTACAGTTGTGGAGTTGCTCTCTATCCAAGTGAAAGTGTCTTCTCTTCAATGAATTGGGGCCAAGCTGGTTAAAAGCTCCCATGGCACTGCCAATGAATTTGATTGAAGAAATTCGGTTGATGAATTTGATGAAATCGGATTGCAGTCATTGTCAAGGAACAGATGGGCTTGTTCTTCCTGTTCCAGCTCTGCTCCTTTCCCAGGAAGTCATCCTGTTCAGGAAGTCAGCCAGGACCACACTTCTGTCCATGGCTGAAAGTAAAATTAAGATGTGTAGCATGTGTAAGTGTCCACGGAAAAGGAGTTACTGAGAAACTAGGGACAAAGTTCTGGCTACTAAATGAACCTTTCTTCTGATATTAATTGAACATTGATTATATAGAGTCATGAAATGTATTTTTATAACAGTTGTTAGCACTTCAAGTATGACAGTTAATCAAATTGGCACAATTCTCTGTGTTGGTCTTTTTTATTTCCTTTTTTTCCAGATTTTATTGAATGGTAATGTAAATACTTTTTGGAGACAGTAGATTGGATCCAGACTTAGCTATACTAAGAGCCAGACCCATTGGTTAATCACACTCTGAAATATTACTTATCCAAGGAGTATTTTTTTTACCTGTATAAAAGCAATGCTGCTCAGTCACCCTCTCCCTTAATATGCTTTAATGATATAACAGAATAGAAATGTTCATCTCCCTTCACAGAACAGGGTCAGTGTCAAGAGCTGGCATCTCCAGACATGTGCGAAGGCCTACTTCTCAGGAGAGAGACCTCTGCCAGCTGCTAAAGCCTGCTGACTTTGTTGCTGTTCCTTGCTAATACTTTCTGGTTCAGCAGACTACTTTAGCTAAACAAAATTGGTTTGCATGATGCAACACAATTTACCTGCAGTACTGTTGTGTCCTGCCAGGCACCTGTAGGCACCTAGTTTCTTGTGTCAACCCAGGCAGCAGGGGGGTTTTGAGGGCTAGGGAACATGATCACTCAACCACTAGCTTGTTTATGAGTCCCTGAGGGTTATCTAACCGCAAAGCACCCCTAACATCTGAGATGTATGCCATGACAAATGATGCACGCGTAGGTGTCATGTAAAAATAGCACCTGTGGGTGCGTGCCACAGCACAAACCTTGCGGGTGTATTAATCCACGCTGAGCTGTCATGTGCAAAAAAGCCCAGTGACAGGAACAAGGAAAAGAAGCAGCAGTTTTGTGTCTCAGCTTGTAGATCATGTTAAAGAGTGGAGCAAAGAAATGGGCAGAACAAGAGCAGTGAGAATGAGGTGGGGCCATGCAGTGCATCGTGTTCACGGTCCCCTCAATACTTATAGCTGGCCCTGGATATGTATTTGTGAATCCATAAAGCATCCTACCTTGTCTTTTTTCTGAAGAGGTAAAACAGTGACAGAGTCCAGGTAAAGGTTTTTAGGGAAAGGAAAGACAAGAACATGAACAGTGTGAAGGAATAACAATTAGCAAAACCTAACAACAACTGTTATGTACTGTTGCCCCTTGTAAATGGAATAAAGTCCTGTATACTCTTATAAGTACCTTTAAACTCACATTTGTGACCAAACATGTTTACTGTTTTCTTGAAGCAAACTTAGCCTCATATTTTCATCTTTACATGTCAGCTTTTATACAAGGTGGGAAAAATAGTTTCTGTACTGTGTTTAAATTGGCACACTAATCTAAATGACATGATTTAAACAAAAGTAGCATAGATTTTTACTTATTCCAGTAATTACTTTCTGAAATTTGTGTTCCTATTCAAAGTAAATGATATCAAGCTCCATTTCAGAGTGGGGAAAATTATCCAGGGGAGGTTTTTATGTAGTTGTCTTTCAAACCACCCAAACCAGAATTATTTTGGTGCTATGCTTCGCATTTAAAATGACTTCAAAGGATGCACGCCTAATTGGTCTAATGCTACAAATGTCAGCTCTCATTAATTCACAGCAATGCAAGGGCTATGTTAAAAATTTCCATTTGCAATGTCATATTTATAGTGGCAGAGACTTCTCCAGTTTGAATAATTTCTCATATTTGTAGAAGAGGATTTGCTTCAGGTTCCTAGATTTAGTTTTGCAGAGTTGTGTCCAAAAGCTACACACTTAATGCCCAAATATGCTGAAGATAGCACACAGAATCCCCATGTCATATTCTGTTACTAAGCCAGTTCCATGATGTTTGAAAGTTTGTAACCCTAACTGTATCCACCACCACCACCAAACAAATTCACTATTTTCACAGCAGTTTAAAGTCTTCAGGAAACAAAAGATATTTGAAGAAGGCTTTGCGTCAATTACAATAACTATTCTGTATTTCATACAGTGCAAATAGGCTGCTAGCCATGGTGTCTTTTTTTGACATAGTAATGAATCTCCATGTTGGAAAAACCTAATAGATGAACTAGAATTAAGAGAGAAGATAATCTCAGTATGTGAATGCTTAAGGCAGTAGGATATTGTGTATGTTTAGGTTCCAGTTATGTACAAACAGGAATGAAGAGGCATGCAACCCAACCATAACAGTGCTTTTGCTGGAAGAAATCCCATTTGTTTCAAAAGGGCTGTCACTCTCAGCCCCCGCCCCCGCCTTTACCATTTTGAAATTGACGCAATCATGCGAAAAAGGCATGGCAGTTTTTTTGGTACATGGGTTTGAATTCTCTTAATTCCCAACAATTACAACAAGGTTCATTTAGTAGAAATTTTCTTTCCATTGAATGGGAGGAGGATGGGAAGGTAAATGATCCAGTGAAGAAAATATTTTTTGCAAACAACTGTCTTGCATTCTTCAAAACATTAGATGCAGGCAAGCAGTTTGCTGAGAATTGTGTTTTTGCAAGCTGGAAAGTAAGACAGTATAAGTATTTACAAGTGATTCTTGAGGGGTAAATAATCCTGATTTAGCAATCTTCAAGCAGAGCAATCCTATCATTGCTGTATAGCATCTGGAGGATCATAAAGTGTGGTCAGAAAAATGCTCCAACCTCATAGCTGGGGATCTGTGTTCAGATCCTCCTCCTCTTTGCCTTGCAGCCTGTGCAGAAAGCACCGTACCAGCTTAATCTTTAAAGCTGGAAAAACCAAACACTGGAGCCCTAGTATCAGCCCACAAATGAGTTAAACTAGTAGGCGAGGAGCAGGTGAGTGCTGTTTACTGATAGACTTGTATGTCTATATTAATTACAGGTAACCATTCCAAATTTATATCACTAACTGAAGCCAGAATGGGTGCAGCAAGAGGGCAAAATCCCAGAAGGGTAACTCTGTGCAAGTTTATAGTTGGGAACTAAATCCCAGGAGAAAACACAGCAGGAATCTACAGCTCCTGCAGCCTTGCTCAAACAGGGAGTTGGTTTAAACTAAGCCAGGCTTAGAAAAGGAAGGAAAACAATATATAGCTGTATACTTGCAAGAGCCACTGTGAAGGCATAGCTGGTGGATGAGACTGTTTATAAACAGTGGCTTAGTTCAGTTTGGGACCACTGTAGGATCAGGTTCTTATGGCTGTAGAATTACTCATGAACTAAGGTTCAGAAATAGAGTAATCCAAAGTTTGAAAGTTTAGGTTATTACTTTGATTTAAATCACACAAAAAACTTCATCCTTTCAAACCACATCCTTTCAAAGGGCGTTCAAAGATAGGCTGGACATTCACTTGGTGGGCATGTCGTGAGTGGGGCCGGTTGGAGCCGGGGATCAGACTAGATGGCCTGGGAGGCCCCTTCTGACTCGCTCTGTTTCTATGTTTCAAAAATCACTTGCCCCCTGTTGTTTCCACGTCAACCCATCCACTATGTTGCTCTCCACCAAATAGAACATCTTCACACCCAGGAGGGACAATTAGCAAACCTTGGAGGGTGATGGGCGATACATTTGAGCTGTGCTGTAAATAAGGTATACTTAGGGGCTAATCTAATAGGGCTCAGAGGATTATAGGCATGTTATGTGAAGTAAGAGCTCCTCCCACTTAGCAAAGTGGTCAGATAGCCAGTTTTGCAGCATTTTGGAGGGGGAAAGGAGTTTAAGCTGCCATCAGGCTATGTTGTATCTTGCCAATTTCCCCTCTGTCCTGTTCCTGGGATGCCTACTGAGCCCCTGCTCTGAGATCACCCTTAGGGCTGCAGAGAAGCAGCCAGCTGTGGGTGGGTACTCCAAACAGGGATCCTCAGTTGGAAGGTCAGAGATGATGTGGGCCGTGGCACTAGGCATCTAGAAGTCTTGCAGTCTTTTAGATGCTGTCCGGGGGCCATAAGCTATGTTAGTAACTTAGGAAACCTCAATAAGTTGGGTGCAGAAGTAGTCATAATGGGAGTAGATGCATTAAAATCAGCCAAATTTAAGTTAAACGTCTTAATGCTTTCAGTGGGTCTACATGAGAATGACTAAATCTGGACATAACCTGATCCATTTATTGTCAGGCTATATCCACCCCCACCCCTAAAAAATGAACACTGAATTGTAAATCTCTGTATACCCCTTTCTTTGACTCAAATGATTACAGACAATAGGTAAGAGAAGGAGAGCTTTAGACTAGATTACTTGGTGTAATTTTGGATCAGAGTATGATGCTTCTTGGCTGTCATTTAGCCTTTTGAAATTATTTTCTGTTGTATCTCCCCTGCCAATAAACCCATTTTGGGCTTTTACAGTTAAATAATGTCTCAAGTGTATGGGGATAGTTTGCCAGCAAGTTGAAAAAATGAGGAGGGTAATAAGCTTCTAGCTAATTTTTGAGCCACACAATTTCATTTTTTTAATCTTCCTACACAAAGGAAGATTATTAAAGCTCAAATTAATGTATAAAAAGCAAATTTGTTCTAAGAGTTCCATGCTGAAATTTGGCATAGGAGCAATTGTGTGCATTACTGCGCATACGATACTTCTTTAGCGGTATTTGGCTCACCAGGGTAGTATTACAAGATTGCTGTCAGATACCCACTGAGGTCTTAGTTGCCCTGGGATGTACGACACTGTATGACACTGGGTTGGAGATGAACAATGAGATTGCTAACTCTAGTTAAAGGTATGCTCCTCAGCTTCCAAAATCCATAAAACTCAACAAAGTTTGCATTGTGCCCAATTCACCCACTTTCTATCACTGATCCTATGTAGACACTACTTTGATCATGGATGGTGGGACGGGTCACTTCCTTCCCCCTCCTGCTCCTCCCAATAACATCAGTAGAGCCTAGGAGCCTTCACACATTCAAGAATATATGCATGGACTCTGGCAATGTGGCTGGCAATGCTGGAAAAGTTTAAAAGAAGCTTCCATGGATAAGGGGTAAGGGAAAATTTGTGGTTGATATTGTAACTTGATTTATATCCTGCCCAATTAGCCATAGATTCTCTGGGTGGCTTACATACTTAATTTAAGCAATCCATAAGTAGGCCTGAGAAATTACTGGGGTGTGAGTAGCTGAACCTCTTGGCTGAATTGCTGAAATGTAGCATGCAAATGAATAAGGAAAGAGGGAATGAGTCAATGGCCATGGAGTGCTACAAGAAGGTAGTGTCCAATGTGTGAGCATTCTGCATTGATTGTATGGGAGCTGCTCTTACAGGAGGCGCTACTATATATGCATGGGGCACTGAGAGAAATATTCCTAAATGTGTGGCCCAAAGGCAGGGTGACCAATGCCACATGCAAATTGCAATGTTTCTTTTGTCCTTCCATGGAGAGAGACAATAGTGAGATGTAAAAAATAATAATTTGAGAGAGGCAATAGTGAGCTTTAAAAAATAATAATTTGAAGTTTTACTGTTGCTCACCTCCATGATGGCCTTTCAGAAAATAAGGCAATATGCTGATAGCTAATAATATATTAATAATGTATGGAATATGGGGATGTTTATGGGTGTTTCACTCCTGCCGCTTCAAGTATGTTTGAAAGGACATGGGGGAGAAATCAACCCAATATGGACAACATATTCAATATAAGGAGCAGTATGGATTGCATGAGCTGTACTTGTTCTTGATTTCCATGTGGTTAACTTTAGAGTAGCACAGAAGCCTGTGCATACTGGTGCACATACACAGGACTTTCTCTGCACAACTAGTAAGCCAGCTGTTCCAAGAACTCCAATCACCTGGAGAATACCCTTGCACATATAGTTCTTAGGTTCTGTTGAGTGGAGATCCCCTCCCTCCAAACATTCAGTATGAAATTTGTATAGGGCATATGATAGAAATTGGGTAGGCTGATTACAATGCAATCTTTGGGATTTTTTTAAAATGGATTTAGGGATCCTCCTTAATGGCATTGGAATTAGGAATGTCCTTTGCCCCAGAGGTAGACTCAATAGTTGCAGATTACAGAATCTGTATGGTCCACTGGTATGCTTAGATAGAAGGTCAAATGCCTGAAAATCAGAAAATAGAAGACAGACTTTGTTGTGTATGTATGGTCATTTAAATAAAATAGCAATCCAGGGAAAAGCAACATTAAATTGTGAAAAACAAGGGCTACAATCCCTAAATTACCAGGGTTTCTGGAAATGACTAGACCAGCTGGCAAGGAATTATGTAAGAGCAGAGGGCATGAAGTTCATAGCCTTGGAAAGCTCCATGGTGACAATTGCATGTAACAAGGCTGATCTCACTGTGAGGATTATTCCAGCGTTGGCATTTTGTACTGGAAATGAAGACGCTTCTGAAGAAATCAAGAAAATGGGTTTGCTTGAGTACAGCATCATCACCTCCATTCTGGGGTAGGTGCATTGCTTTCTGGAAGTAGCTTTCAAGTTCCCTACTCCCCTGAAATTACACTGAAAATTGCTGCAGTCTTTAGGGGACTTTTTAGGGTACAATCCTATGGCCACTGGATACTGCCTAGATGGCCACAGGATAGACTGGAGTCTCAGCTGCAATCTTGAAAATGTGTTCAAGGTTGCTGCTAGGATTTTGGCCATGGAGCTCCCTTCCTCCATCCTTGTAGCTGGTGGGGTTCTTTCTGCATTGTCTGCGGTTCCAAAGTTGCAAGCGTGACTTCAGAATTGGTGTTGTGGGGCAGTTCTAGGGAGTGAGGAGGGGAGGAGTGAGGCTCTGCTGGGACATGAGGAATCTCCCTTCTGGTATCCTATCCCATCCTCCTCTTCACTAGCAGGGGCAAAGGAAATAGATGCCCAAATCTGGCCCTCTGTATTTTTTGCTGGGCTTCTCCTGCACTTGCTTGAATGTCCATAATCCTATGAGTTCAGAGGGTTAATTTTTGCATGAGCTAGAAATCAAAGCATGTACAAAACTTATAGCATGTTTTCTTTGATGCTAACATCACTGCCAAAACATGCTGTGTTATGAAAATCATGCGCCTTCAGTTCTAAGGCCAAGCACAGATAGCTATGGCTTGACTGCCACCTTCCCATTATAGCAGAAGGTTCTCTGGGCTACCTGTAGTCAGAGAACCCCTGTGCTCTGCGGTCTTGCTTCTTTTGCCTTGGATCTCCAGGAGGATGAAATGAGCAACTGAAATATTGGTTTCGACAGAATGGAGCTTGCTAGAACATCTTCAATGGTTATGAAATGGTATCTTGATTTATTTAAATGTTTCCACTCTGCTGTCAAAGTCGACTTGGGCCAGTAGACCAGTGAACAAAAGAGAGCCACTTCTGGTGACCATCCTAATCAAGGAAGGAAGCACCTTGTGTGTGGGCCCTATTCTGGGCTTTTCCAGGGAAAATGGATCAGGCAATTTCTCTGTGAGTTAGGAACCTGACTGAATATTCCTGCTGAAGTGCCTTTATTTGCCCATTAAAATGTTGTCATTTAGGACATGAACCCCCAGCCATTTGGGGACAATGGGCACAGATGGACTTGTGAGACTGCGTCATGGGCACTCTAACAAAATGGCTGTGGGGGGCGGGGGTCAGGAATTGCTTGCTCATTCCTAAAGTGGCTGCTACAGTGGCACGGCTACTCAGACAATCATTTTCATAAGGCAAACTGGTGAGACTAAAAGAACACTAACTTGCTGAGATGCATATGTACAAAGCAGAAGTTTTGAACACAAGTAAATATAGTGCTGGAAGATTAGATCTGCAGAGTAGCAAACTCCCAGGTAAAAACATTTGTCCAAAAATATTAAATGCAATGCAAAGAAAGGGTCAGTGGGCCTGGTAGGCACCAAAGGAGGTCATTGGTGGATGTCAGCACCATGCTGGTCATCCCAGTTTTCAGGCCACTTTCTATTAATTAGTTTTAGGTATGCACCTCAAACTACAATGCAGAAATCAGATGTATGAGCAGTAGCAGAGGCAGGTTTGCTGCTGTGTGATATTTGAAAGCACCCCCATAGCAAAGGCTACAAGTAATATTTTCCCAAGTCCCTTCAGAATTAGTTTGATTGACCAGCTCTGGAACAAGTGATCAACAAAGCATATAGAGCTTCTCTTGCCCAGTTTAATGTTTCTTTCCATGAAGGTTTGTGAAGCTAAAATATATCAATATGCAAAAGCAAATGCTTCAGTCAGTGGCAGAGGATGATGTTACTGCCCCACAAATGAACCTTGCGATTTCTTTCAGATGAAGCTCTGTAAACAGGGCATCCTTCTTACTCAGCTAAAATGATATTTCCTTCCTCCCTTCCTTCCCCATATGAAGACCGACAGCTCTTTCAGGTTTGGTGACCCTTTGTGGGTCCCTCTAGTTGGACTCCGATTATATTATATATTATATTATATTATATTATATTATATTATATTATATTATATTATATTGTACTGAAGTAGAGATGTCAAACCATGTTGTCCTACTCTACTGAGGCTGCAAGAGCTTTTTATTTTGAATATTCTTTTTGACAGGAGTTTGGTGTTCTGACTCAACGAAGCATTCAGAATCTAATAATGCAACCGGCAGTGCTGAAAAATAAAGGGAGCAATGAAGCCTGCCGTTATGTTGTAATCCTGTTTGCTTTTCTAGAACTGATGAATAGCCACAGAATCACTGACTCAAGTTTTGGATCCCATTTTCATGACAAAGCGAATGTCTAGTTTAAAAATGAGCTCACTATAAAATGAGGCTTCCTGCCTTTTGCACTGGCAGCTGCTTCTAGATTACCTTTTCCTCCTCCAGGAGTGTTGTACTCAGCACTGGTCATGTCCAAAACGGGAAGCAGGGTAAGTATACTAGCAGCTGCAGAATACGTCCTTTCCTCTGCCTGCAAGAAGATCATGCTATCAACAGTTCATCTTTGCAAGCTTGGCAGAATTGAGGAAAGAACAGAAGGACAGTGAGTGTTTCCCTGCCTTAAGAGGAAACAGGTAGCTCTTTTCTATTTAGAAGACATACCTAGAGAGAGAGAGAGAAAAAAGGCCTGGAACTATTGGTGGATTCTCCTAGCTTTCATTCAAGCTGCTCCAGTGGTTTTGGTTGTCAAATGAGGTCCATGTGTGAAAATGACGGCATTAGTGACAGATGCATCCTGCTTCTTGTTGGTTTTCTTTGTTCTGTGAGAGATGGAAAATGGGTATAGAAGATCCCAGAGTTATTGGGGTGATTTTCAAAAGCAGATTTAAGCATGCACCGGGTTCAAGAATCTTGCAGCCTATGTGCATCTCATCTTGATACAACATGCTATGAGGGGAAGAAATATCTTCAACTGCTCCCTACAATGGTTGTTATTTGCAAGCTGGACCAGCAGTTGAATTTGGAATGCCGTGTTAGCAAACATTTCTTTTCTTGCATGACATCAACAAGCCCAACTGTAGCTGTTCACTGATGGCAGCAGGTTTCAGATTAAAATTTCAGTGGGGCAGCTCATAATTATGCAAAGTATGCAATGAGACTGGAAAATATAAGCCAAGAAGGAGGCTTTCTTTGCACTCTGAGATCTGTCATTGACTCATTACGACCACAATCTGGTGTAGGGTTTCTTCTATTCAACCTGCTAGAGCGTTTTTGTAGGCATCCAAGGCTTTTGATCAGAAGGTTATCTGCAGAGTCAGCATACATGTGGTACAATCCTGTTGAGATTGTGACTTGGTTTGCATGACATGATAAGCCACGGTGGGCAGCAAGCCATGGTTGGTTGTTGTGTGGTTCGGACTCGGACTGCTTTCCTCAGGTTGGTTTGATTTTTTCCCAGCCAGTCCCCTTGAGAACTCATGTTCTGTCACTAGGATCTCTTTCATTTCTGGTGGACTGGTATGTCCTCTGAACCTACTCTGTACCACTGAGACTGGAGGTGAAGGATTGCATGTTGAAATGCCCTTTCATGGTTTTAAAAAAGTGCACACAAACTACCTGCATGTAGAGTAATAGCACACCAGAGCAAAAGTGGATTTAAAGATCGGTGGGAAGTTTGTTTACACTGAGGAAACACACAAACGTGATTTTCCACCTTCAATCAGAGGAGGGACAGTGTCTCAGCAGGGCTATTCCATTTGTTTATTTCTGTATGCGTAGGTACATTTTAAGCAGCTTTGCACACTGATCTTGGTCTCTTACGACATTCCCACTAAATCAGAGCGAATTTGCATTTGTTGTGTTTGGTCCAAATGTCTTTTCTTGAGGTTGTGTAACCGTTGATGAACTATTTTATTTTCTGAGCTGCTTCATTCTTGAGGAAATGTGGTAGGTTTCCCTGCTACCACATCCATTGCTGTTGCAATTGCAGTGTGGGATGTGGTTGCACACAAGTAATGGGCACTTGTCAGATACTATCTGTGAAGTAACAAGTGCTAAAATCTGAGCCAAGAACTATACACCTTTTGCATACGCTCTGCACCCTATGAAAAATCTTCTCAGGTGCATTTGTACTAGTAGCAGTTTCTTCAAGGTGGAAATGAGCATTTTTAGTGGCTGCAGTTTTCATTGGGAAATCAAGTGTGTGCATGAAGGCTTGATCCAAGTCCAAACTGAATCCCCTAGGGGTTTTTTTTACATGAAGATACATTAAATATGTAAGCATATTTGTGTATGCTCTTGGATTCTTGTACTTCTAAGTAAAAAAGACGGGAGAGAAAGAGAAGCCATGAATCCCTAAACATCAGCAGTCCGGGAAGGTGGTGAGACCAAGCAAGTAGTTTGGGAACCTTGATGGGCTGGATTTGGTCTTCAGAGCTGAGGTTCTGCACCACTGGAAGAGTGCTCCTGTGGACTGGCTTGGTACAGATCCTGAAAGGCCCAGGGTTGTCCAGAGTTTCCTTGTCTGTGTACATCCTTTCCCCTCCTCAACCCCATTTTGTATATCTTAAGGAAGAGAAACATAGGAAATGAATTGGAATTAGGAAAAACAAAAGGGCTTTGTGCTCAAGAAGTGGAGGTGGAGGGCATTGTGGAGATGAGTTCAGGCAGTCAGAATCACACCGAAGGCATGCAAGCACACCCCTTGCCATTGCTGTAATTGTGGGTAACTATTGCCCACCTAATCTACGGCAGATTACCCATTGATGCTCATGTGGAAAGCAATGCTACTTTCCCCTGAACGAGTAGGTAAAGTTTTGCCAGCTTGGCCACAGCCCTGGCGTCTCTCTCTCTGATGAGGAGTGCTCTGGTGTGCCTCTGCCCAGTGCTCAGGCGGCAGGCCGGGCTGGCTACGCCATTTTGCTGTCTAAGGCAATGGGCAAGTGGCACCCCCTGCCCCAATTCTTTCCACAAAAGGTGATTGGATTGACCCCTGAACTGGACGTCTACCCTGAGGACAGTATCCTCCATTGGACTAGAACATGGAGGGCAGAAGAGAGCACCAGTTATGAAGGAGCCGAGGAAGGCAGCACCTCTCACTCCTCTGCCCAGCTCTACAGTCTGACGAAGACATGGATAGAAATAATTTGAGTTGGGGCACTGAAGCTCTTGCATGCCTAAAGGCCAAATTCAATTTCAGAGAAGCTCTCAGGGGCTGCGTTCTACTGATGGAGGGGGCAAATATCCTACCTAATGATATTTTGGCTTGCAAGCCCTTACTGTCAGTGGCTGAGCTTTAGGCAAGGGGACGAGTCCTGTAGATGCTTGCGTAGGGAGTGTGGCAGGCTGCCAAACATCCCTAGCCAAACCCATCTTTGGCAACCTTCTACCCAGCTGCACGACATCTAGTAGAAAACCTGTGTCCTTTGTGTTTTGCTTGCATTTCAGATCACCTTCTACGAAGGCAAGAATTTCCAGGGCCGCCGCTATGAGTCTGACAGAGATTGTTTGGACTTCCACACTGACCTGAGTCGTTGCAATTCCATTCGTGTGGAGGGGGGTGCCTGGGTTGTTTATGAGCGGCCGAATTTTGCTGGAAACATGTATGTACTGACCCATGGGGAGTACCCTGAATACCAGCGCTGGATGGGCCTGAATGACCGTGTCAGCTCATGCAAGTCCATTCAGTTAGTAAGTTGGGCATTTCTTTCCCCTCTGATTATCTGTGAAACCTGAATGAGTGAAGAGAATATTCTCATAGGTGGAGAGTCCAGGTGGGTACACTTAGCAATCTCTTTTCTCAGCACTTGGGCCTCTTTGCTCTGTTTTATTTGAGACTTATGAATGATCATCATGTGGTTGTACTCATTTGTGTGCACATGCACACACATGCACATGCATGCAAGGGAAGCTTGTGACCCTGCAAACATTGCAATGATGGGTGATAATGTGGAACAGTAGGCATTAGGATCCAACATTTGTGGGGCTACAGGTTCCCCTATTCTGCCATCACAGTGCATGGCCTGAAGACACATGTGGGGACTACCATGATGAAGCTAAGTAAGTCTGTGTCTGGTCAGTGCTTGGAGGAAAGACCACCTGGGAACCACATCTAGCTTCCTTCAGTTCCATGGTGGAAGAAAGGGATACGACTTAAATAAATAAAAGCTTAAGTAAAGGATGGGGAAACTCTTACCATCAAGACTGTCAGCATGTCTATTTATCCCGCCCTTCTTGCAAGGAACCCAAGATCCTTGCAAGAACCCTATCCCAAGAACCCGATCTGTTGTGGGAGGGTTCTTCCCCATCTGATCATCACAGCAACCTGTGAAGCTGGAAAGCTGGACATTCTTCCTCCCTCTTTTTCTCAGTGTTGGTACTACTCACTCTTTGTACAGTCAGAGCCAGTAGCATCTTCAGCAGGTGCCTCACCAAGCCACCCTTTATGATCATTCTCTGGCTGTGTATTGTGGCCTCCTATTGCCTAATGAATCTCCTGGTTTTGTGACTGGGATGGTGCTGTAGGATACAACCCCCTGACCCAACCTCTAGTCTGGGGTGCAAAAACAGAAAGCTTATTAAGCTCTGGTGCGCAGTATATAACATGCTGCTGAGGAGTGAAACCCAACTGAAGAGAGTAGAGTAGGAGGAGAAATATGCCACATTTGTGTTTATTTGATTTACATGCTGCCTGACTAGCCATAGGCTCTCTGGGAGGCTTACACCCAGTCATGGAATTAGCTGCCATGTAAGTTGATGCTCATAATAGGTAGTAAATCAGATTCTTCTTGAAGGAAGATGGATTCATTCAGGGACACAACTGAATCCACAGCCACAATGTTTTCTTTGGCATAATGGAGGGCTGCAGAACCTCAGTTCTGTTGGCTAATTCTGCCCCAGCTGGGATCTGTTGTGCCATCTAAGGTTCTCCAAATTGTCATGCCACCTTCTTCCCAGTCACCCTTCATTTGACAGTTTCTTGGCTTTTGTGTGGGGTTTCCCCCATCCTATAAGGTTGAAATGCCTCTCTTAAGAGCCCTTCTTGCCAGTGATGAAGGCTTAAGTTAAAAGATGCTGCCTTTGTGGTATCTGGACTCTACCCCCTTTGCCACCCACTTTTGGACTGTGGCCCCTGAAGACCTGCTCTGAAAGTGAATGTGCCCCCAGGCTGAAAGAGGCTCCATCCTTCTGCTTTAATGGATAATACCCATTGTTATCCCATTGGAGGACCCTGAACTGTGTCACTCTGCTTAACTCCTATGTAACATGTGTCTTCTCTTTGTTTTAGTCCAGTGGAGGCAAGTACCAGATCCAGCTCTTTGAGAAGGGTGACTTTAGTGGCCAGATGAATGAATTTACAGAGGACTGCCCCTCTCTCATGGAGCAGTTTCACTTCCGGGAAATCCACTCCTGCAAAGTCATGGATGGGGCCTGGGTTTTCTATGAACACCCCAACTTCCGCGGTCGGCAGTATCTTCTGGAGAGAGGGGAATACAGTAAGCCTATGGAGTGGGGGGCTGCCTCCCCAGTGGTCCAGTCCTTCCGCCGTATTATGGAGTAGACAGCAGCATGAAGTCTGACATCGATGGGAAAGCTGCCTAGATGCCACCAATAAAGCACTTGTGGGCTTGATGCTTTGTGATGAATGGGTCTCTCTGAGTGTTTTCTTTAAGGATGCTGATTAATCTCTGCAGTACCCCTTGGTAGGAATGCTTGTTTTTAGTCAAGTGCTTGAATATCAGGGCCAGAGGGGTCTTGTTGCTTTTGCGGTAGTCCCTCAGAGCCTGGCACACACTGCAGAAGGGGTCTATCAGAATTTGGTTGAAATGGGGCTGCTGGTCAGAGTGGGACTTGTACGTTTCATCACGGACTGCCCCTAGCCCTTCCCACATAAAATGAACAATGTAACGATGTGAAGGGGGGTAGAATCACCCAGTGTGCTTTCAGACAGAAGACCTGTGTAACACTAGAATCTCTTGAGATGAGACTATAGGAAAATAGGAAGTTGCTTTCATCTAGACTAGTCTTGTTGACACTGACTGGCAGATGCTTTCCTAGCCCCACCTGGAGATGCCAGGGGTTGAATCTGAGATCTTCTGCAGGCAAGCCTGTGTTCTGCCAGAGCTATGTCCCTTTCAGCTGTGGAGACTGGTGGCTCCAATGTCCATGGGGCAGTGTATCTGTTCTGAATTTTAATCTGTACTTTAAGGAACTGTCCATAGTGCTGAACTCTGGGCCAAACAAGTTCAGCACCATGGATAACCCCTTTAGAATTCAGGCTCCCCCCCCCCCCCCGCTGCCTTTCCAGTGGTGGGGGCATAATTGAACATGTGGGGAAGGGTGTGCCAATTGACTGCACAGTCCCCTGCCTCCATCTCTGTCATGTTTAGGAGACTATGAGATGTTATGGATGTGTCCAGCCCTACACGTGTAGGCCTTTTCTTACACATGTACATGTGTGGGCCTTTTCCTTGCCTGTAGTTAAAAAGCATTAAAACCTAAAGATAGCTAGCCATGGTTATGTTCCTTTTCTATCAGTAGCAATTAGACATGTTTATTTCTTCACCCAGCCTCCCCAGGTTCTTTCCTGCTCTTTCTCAGGATAGATTCTCAATGACTTCTTCCATAGGGGAGGAGAGGGGAGAGCTGTGCTTCATTTCTTGGCCACCAGGTGTCAACCTTTCTCTTCTTTCCTCACAGATCGGACCAAATAATGTGATGAAATCTTTGGGTAAACTCATTCCTCTTCCATTATGTTATGCCTCAAGTCTTAGAAAATAACAAATGTCCATTTTATTGGGCATTTTCTCTGCGGGGTGGCACTCTAGGGAAACCCTGGAATTTTTGCATATCAAGCAAGGGAATGGGGGAGTTTGGATAATGATATTCTGTGTATGGAGTGTGCACTTTTATAGCAAGGGCCCACAGCTCTTCCCGCTTGATATATGAGGTCATTATGAAGCAACGAAGCTGCGTATGCAGTGCTTGTCAGCTTCTATGATCTTCCAGCCCCTGTGAATATATTCTCAATTAAGGACTGCCTGAGCAGGAGGTGCTCTGATTGGGCCAAAAGAGGAGAACTCAGCTTCTCCCTGGTTTGTGGGCAGGTATCACTGGGAGTGCAGCTGGATGGGTGCCTTCCAGTGCCCTTTGAAGAGCTGAGGTGGAGTGGATCGGGAAAAGGGCCTAGCTGCTCCAGGGAGGAGGCGAGTGCTAGAGTGGGTCTGTGTCCTCTTTTACCGAAGAGTATTGTCTATTTGAAGGTACCTTCTTCTTGAGGGGTGTTCTGACCCCTGCCAAAGTCCACTTGAAAAATAAAGAACTGTCAGGAGGGAAAGATGCAGGAAACCAGATGCTGTCCAGCCACTCTTAGCTCTGGGACAACAAATTGAGCAGGCAAGCACAAAGGTGACTTGGTTGTCATCCCCACGTATGGTGAAATAAATGTTTTATTTAAATTGTAACATATATTTTTCAGTTTGCATTTATATCTATGTATATATAAATGTACATTGCACCTGTACATTTATATTATACATTTTATATGTATAAATTAGCATGTGCACATTTTATGCATATCTTTTTTTGGCAATGTGTAAATGGGCACCCTAGGAAACTCATGTGCTGGGTTGGGACATCATGGAGAGGCCACATATCACCAATATTAAAGCTCTGCAGTGGCTGCCAATATGTTTCTGAACAGATTACATGATGTTGGAAGTTACCTTTGAAGTTCTTCATGGGTTGGGTCCAAAATACCTTCAGGAGCACCTTTGCTCATATATTCTGCCTCACCTGCTAAGGTCCTCTGGAGGTAATTGTTTGAAGATTCCTGCTGCAAGATGAATGTCCTGCTTCAGAGGACTTTCTCAGTGGTTGCCCCTAAAGTATGGAATGGCCTCCCAGGGGAGATGCATCAGATATCCCAGATTGCTGCCTTCAAGAGGAAGTTAAAGATGTCACTCTTCCAACTGGACTTCCCAGATCAGTTCCCAGCTTAGTTTTATTTAATGTGTTTGTTTGTAGTTGAAATTTTAACTACTGTCTGTTTTAATCTCTTGTAAACCATCCAGAGCTTATGCGAATGGGTGGTATCTAAAAATCAAAATCAAAAATAAATGCTCAATTTAAACTAGAACTGAGCACAGATGGCATCCAAAAATTCTCCACTATCATTGCAGGCTGCAAAACTGGCAGTGCAATTTTTCCAAATATACTCTGGAGGGGTGGGAGCAGGAGAAGAAAGGTATCCAACCACTTCACTGGGATGCAGCTGCCCATCAGCAACAGTGGTGGCACAGCTTTGTTTTCTAAGGCCTCTTGTTTTGTTGTGTACTTGCTGTATTCAGCAAGATACTGATAGCTTGGCCACCATTTGGTATGCCACACAATGCCCTCAACTTAGCATTTTCTGGGGAAATGCACGTGTGTGGCGGGGGGGGGGGGGGAAGGGAGCTGTCCCCCAAAGGACAGGACATATTTGGAAAATATTCTGCAATGCCCCATCTTTTCAGATGGTGGGATGAAAGGAAAATTCCTGGATATTTGAGAGTGGGAAATATGTGTTACAATTACCTGGAACAGAAGAGATCTTTTTGATTAGTGGTCCCACTATCTCCTCCTTCATGGCAGCTGACTCCCTCTCTCAAAGAGGCATTAATTGTCTATTGACCTAGTTGGTACCCCTCTGTTAAATAAAGCCAGTGTCTGAACAGGCCAAAAAATTCCTGGAAGTCAATTTTCTGCTGGTGGTTTTGAATGCTTTTACTAAGTTTATCTTACTCTTTCAATGTTCACAAATTTCCTTGAAATAACTGAGAAATGGTGGTAAAGAAGTGTCTAAAATAAAGAAAGACATGCATTCTGTCCACTTTATATACATGTATATTTGTAAGCCACATTTGCTCCGTTCCAGAACAGTGCCCATTAATTTTCAGGGGTGTATGGACATGTAGGCCAAAGCTGAGAAAGCAGAGCCTTGTCAAAGATTCCAGGTGAGATTTCCAGCTCCCACACCTAGCTGGTAAACCACAGCAGCTTCCCATAATCATTCTACTAACAGCAATAAGAATCAAGGCCTTGCCCTCTCAGGCCACAATCCTATGCTCATTTAGATGGAAATTAGTTCTACCACTCCTGGCATCTCTCTACCAGCCATGCCAGATGCAGCATGCCGGGAACTGTAGGACTTTTTCCCCCCTGTATAACCTTAGAATTATAGAATAGTAGAGCTAAAAGGGGCCAAGAAGTTCATTAGGTCTTTGCTGTTGCAGGACACCAATTCCCACCATCCCACCCAACACCAATTAACACCATCTCACTTGCATAGGATTACAGCTGCAATAAATATTCAGGAACAACTGAGAAGCATAACATCAAACTCAGGGCAATTTGGGATAGGGATAGAGCCAAAAAAGTTGCTGCAATCCCTAAATTTGCTACCTTGGCATCTGCCTCCGCTGACCAATCCAGCGCCCAAAAGGTAGTATTTTACTAATGCTACTGCAACAATAGAAGTGTGGTGTCTTTTGTGTGTAGACTGGAGTACACACACAGCACAGTGCTCCACATGTGTGTCTGGACCGCTGGGCCTGCGAAATGGAAACGCGGAGTGAGATTTGAGTGTGGAAGCCATTTTGCCGACTTGCCCTACATTAGCATTTCCTCTGAGTGCCCTTTTATTGGATTGCTTGATCTGCCTCGCACCGAATGCAATTATCAGAGTTCCTTTCTCTCCCCTCCAAACGGCTCTTGCCCTCTGGTGAATTTCACATTGTGCCCCAGTGTTGGCAACCAATACGAATAACAATAAGGTGTGGTAGGTGGCGTTTTAGAGAGAGAATTTTTTTTAGATTACTTTTTCCAGTGGGGGCTCCCCTGTTGGAGCGGCAGGCAGAGCGGAGTACACACGGATATAAGCCACAGACAGAGAGCAAGCAATCGGAACTGCTCAGCTGATGCCTCGCCTTGACGGCTAATTTCCATTTTTTGGTATCAGGGGGTCTGTTCCAGTAATTGGCATGCAGATTGTGTCTGATGGGCCTGTTAGACAGAAGAAAAGAATCTGCTAGTTAGAATAAGCCAACCCCAGGCTGATGGATGGGGCAGAAGGAGGTCATTCCAAAAGAGAATATATATATGTAGGTATATATATACATACACACACGCTCTTTCTCTCTCGCTCTCTCTATGTAGAATATATATAAAAATTCACAGTCCGTGCCCTCCCCTTCGCCCCTTCTCCCTTTATCCTGCAAAGTCTAATTTATCATGTTACATTGAGACAAATCCAGCTCCTTTCCTCTCTCCTTCCTTTTTCCCTTTAAGGGATATTTGATGGAACCTATTCTTGGTTTTAATAACAAGACGATGGGGCAAGGAAGAAATTAAAGTGGTGCCATGGTTCATTACTAGTCCAAGATCCTCCAGAACTGGCCCAGTTGTTAATTACACTAAAGGAATTAATTCCTTCCTGCCATCACCCTTAATCCACTGGGCAAGCAGGGAGCTCTTCTGAGCCTGGCAGAAATCGGAGCATTTGCATGTGTTCTCTGTGCTTTGTCCAGAAATGATTGTTCATGC